GCGGTATAGACGACAGCGGTGGCGGAACGAATATCGGGCGCCGCTGCACAGTGCCTCTAGCACCAGGACCGCCAGCTCCAGCACCCCCAGCGCCAGGACCTCCAGCTCGAGGATCTCCATTTCTAGTGCCTCCAGCGCCAGCGTCTCCAGCAACAGCGCCTCCAGCTCCAGTGCCTCCAACTCCAGCTCCGCCAGCTCCAGCGCCTCCAGCGCCAGTGCCTCCATCTCTTGGGTCTCCAGCTCCAGCACCTCCAGCTCCAGCTTCTCCGGCTCCAGCGCCTCCAGCTCCAGTGCCTCCATCTCTTGGGTCTCCAGCTCCAGCACCTCCAGCTCCAGCTTCTCCAGCTCCAGCGCCTCCAACTCCAGTGCCTCCAACACCACCAGCTCCGGCAGCTCCAGTACCACTGGTACAAACACCTCCAGGACCAGTAGCTCCAGCACCTCCGGTATCTCCAGCTCTAGCAGTAACTCCAGCACCTCTAGGACTAGTAGCTCCACCTCCAACTCCAGTGCCTCCAGCAGCAGGGCCTCTAGCTCTTGCAGCGCCACTCCTAAGGCGTGTGCACCGAGCAAACCACTCGCGCAGCTGCTGCGGTGAGAGAGGCTCTCGCCGCCGAGACTGCTGTGGCGAGGCACCCGCAGGACCTCCGGCAGACGCAGTACCCCTACGCTCAGCACCCCTAGACTCCGCACCCTCAGACTCAGCACCCCCAGGCTCCGCACCCTCAGGCTCAGCACCCCCAGGCTCCGCACTCGCAGGCTCAGCACCCCCAGGCTCAGCACCCCCAGACGCAGCACCCCCAGACGCAGCACCCCCAGACGCAGCACCTCTAGCAGTACCCGAGTCTACAGCGACCTCGACAGGCACAGTTAGGGGGAGTGGGTCTACCTGAGACACCCCTGAGGGAGAAGGACCCTGAAAGGAGAGGGGGTCTACCGGAGGGGGACCTGGAGCGAGGAAGAGCGGTCGCGGGGGGGAGAGGGGCAGTGCGGTAGGGGAAGAGACAGTAAAAGGGAACCGACTCGTCAAACGTGACGTCGTGAGAGGGGAGGACACGGCGCGAGGTGGGGTGGTAAAACTGCCAGCCAGGCGCGTCAGGGGGAAAGCCAAGGAAGACGCAGGGAATAGCGCGGGAGGAGAGCTTGTCCACGGAAGGATCGCGGACAAAGGCACGAGAGCCCCAGACCCGGAACACCGACGCATCGCCAACCTTCCTCGTCCAACGCAGTGTAGGCGAGGTCTCCGGCAAGGAAACACGGGGCCAGAGGTTGAGCTGATGCGCAGCGAACCGGACCACAAACGACCACAGAAAATGGGGAGCAGCCGCATGGATCATGGAGGTACGAGCCACCTCCATGACTAAGCCAATGCGGCGCTCAGCAACCTCATTTTGCTGCGGGGAGGCCGGAAGCGTGAACGACTGGAGAATGCCCTCCCCACGACATAAGTCCCGCAAGAGGTCGGAGGAGAACTCACCACCTCTATCAGAGTGCAGATGCAGGACAGGAAGGTCCTCGCGGAACCGCTCGCGGAGCTGGAGACGGACAGTGCGGATCCAAGGGATCAAGACATCAGGGACCTCACCCTTGCTGCGCAAGGGGAAGACCGTGGTGTAACGCGGGTGTAGTCGTCAACAACCAGCAGGAAGTAGCGCTCGCGGTCCTGTCCACTGACATGGGCTGGGCCCCACACGTCCATGTGGAGAGTCTGCAGGGGAGCAGTCATCGGGGGAAACGAGGAGGAGTGAGGAGCCGTGCGCTGCCGCCCCTCGATGCAAGGAAGGCAGGCCGGGGCAGGCGAGGGTGGGAGGGGAGGCAGAGACCTGGGAAGACCAGAAACAAGGAGGCGGGAGTGCATGCCACGAAGGCGTGGCAGGGAGGGGTGACCAAGGCGGTGGTGCCAGAGGAGAGTCTGGTGCGACAGGAGGCGACACGAGCAGGGAGCTGCTACCGGACCTGACGCAGACACCTGAGCAGATGCAGCTACCTGAGGAGGCTCAGCAGTCAGTGTGTATGGACTCGAACCAGGCCGATGGGTGAGCGTGGCCAGGTGACGGCCCATCTGTGTACACGTGCAGATGGACACACGCTGACCCCCAGGAGTGGTGGTACTGACCATCGCATCATGGAGGGCAGCGGTACTCACCAAGTTCGTAGAGAACGAGGGGAGGTGAAGACCTGAGAGTGAGCCAGACGGAACCGCCGGACACAGGAGAACAGTGGAGGAACGGGCAAGAACTGGGCCCCCTGAGGGTTCAGCCAGTCTGACCGGAACAGGTGCAGGGAGTGGAGTGAGGGTGGTACTGCCGCGAAAGAAACAGCGGGAAGCACCTGAGTTAAGTGTGAAGGTGTGCAAGGCGTCAGCAGGCGCAGTACCAGGGAGAGCAGACTCACTAGCACCAAGAGCAGCAGCCTCTATACTTGGGTCGGGTGGCAGACACAGGTAACAGTCACCCTCAGCACTAACAGACAAGGCATACATGGCAGCAAAAATAGCATCATAGTCAAGAGCAAAGATATCAACACCAGCCCTAGGCATCTCTAGCCAGCGGGGGCGCTCAGCCTCGTCGCCAAACTCTGCGCGCCAAGCGTCGTCAAGGCGGGAGAAGCAACGGTGCTGTGTGTGAAACTTCCTGCATGTCTGACCCACAGCCTCGACTGCCTCCACCACCACCACCCCCGCTGCCACCGCTACCACTCTTGCCAACCTTGCCCTTGCTGCTGCGGCGCTTCCCACTAAGAGCAGAAGTAGTCCCGACATCCTCAGTACCAAGGATGTCAACAGCAGCAGTAGAAGCGTAGGAGGGGGCAAGGGGGGAGGGGGAACACCCCTCAAAGAAGGGTGTGCGAGGAGTGCCACGAGTAGCACCTACAGCAGCTACGCTAGTCTCGGCTGCAAGGAGGTGCTTCTCGAGCAGGTCGACAGTGAGGTCTATGGGGTCAAGTGCGAGAAAGTGGTCCCTGACTTCGCGAAGAGAGTCAGGGAGGCGGGTGACTATGAAATAGAGAGTGATGTACATCGGGGGCGGGTTCTTGTCTAGGAACTCGGCTGGGAGGGCAGCGCGGTAGCGAGCGTCGCTAGTGTGAAGGTGGGTAACGAGGTCCTTGACTGTGGCAAAGGCGGACAGCTTGGGAAACATGTAGGGCAGTATAAGGCGGCCGAGAGCAGCTATGGCAGGGGAAGAGTAACGAGCGACGACAGCGTCGTACAGGGCCTTAGCAGTCTTGTGCTGGCCAAAGTGAGCGCGTTCGGCTAACGGCAGGTGGTTGCGAATGGCTAAGTGAGTAGCAGCGTTACGAGTAAGCCATTGTGAGCGAATCGCACTATCAGCTGTGGCGGGAGGTGTGAGAATCCTAGCGTGACTTGGGAGCCATGGCTAGTGAGTGTCGAGAGAGTTGAGTGTCGAGAGAATTGGAAAGGAGAAAGTCGAGAGGAAAAATGATTCACTAGCAAGAGTTGGGATACAAGTACAAAACCCTAAATTGGGTTGTACTCACTACAGAGTACCCCACTGCAGGCTAGACAGCAAATATATTCTGACAGGAGGGGCGAGAGAGGCTCCAGACGTGTGGTCAAACAACGAAACGCTGTCTCTAGAATCGCTCAGTAGGTACAGCTGTAAGTCGTCGAGCCACATATCGAAATGGATTAGACGGCCCTCATGATCGAAGGTGAGAACACTGAGAGAAGCCATAGCGGGCAGAGCAGGGGGGCGCGCGACCAGCAGGGCAGCACGCAGGCAGGGCGGCGCGCGAGCACTAGGGAAGCGCGCAGGGCAGGGAGAGGTGGCACACGGCTAGGGAAGAGTGGCGGTGCACGGCTAGGACGGTGCGGGCAGCGGCGGCGCGCGGGCAGCAGGGCGCCGGCCAGCAGGGCTGCGCGCAGCAGGGCGGTGCGGGCAGCAGGGTGGCTCAGCGCGGGCAAGGCAGGGCGACGCGCAGGCAGGGCAGGGTGGCGCGGCTGCCAGCAATGCGGCGCGCGGGCAGCAGGGCGACGTGACGGGCAGCAGGGCGACGCGACTGACAGGGCAGGGCGACACGACAGCCAGCAGGGCGACGCGACAGGCAGGTCAGGGCGACGCGACATGCAGGGCAGGGCGACGCGACTAGTGGAGCAGCACTATGTGGTGGGCAAAAAAAAAAAAAAAAACGGTCCTGGAACAGGACCTGCTCTGAAACCATGTTAGAATACTGAACGAGAATTAATGCATTGAACAGAAAGTTGGTACAAGTACTAAACATTATAACATTTTGACATCAAGAGTTGTCATGCTCATCCTGTACATGCTGGGATGTGTGCATATATAGGATAGGTACGATCAAATAAATTTCTGGAAACAACTCAGGCATGAATGACTTTTGCAACAAAACATTCAATTGATGCAAGAAATATTCAGGGTTCTCTGGCCCTGCCTCCCATGACAGAAGCCGATGGTAGGATGCTCTCCAGGTACTCATCGACATGCACTAGACACGGCCAGTAATCAGTTCGGAACCTGATTATGGTTGATGCCGCTCCAACCTCAAGGCGCATGACCACATGGAACCGCGGCGGAATGAAAACGAGGACCTGCACGCAACCCAGGGTCCGAGCTTCAGAGCCAGCCTGAGCAGCTTGCTGACCAGCTCCCACACTAACAGCTGTCAGCAGCAGCACATCAGACGCACCAACCTGGATCACCTCCGCTCCACTCTCCTCAGATGTTGAGGGTCTTCTCCCAAGCACACGTTCCCACATCTTTACAGAGCGTTTCTTGCAAACAGAAGCGTCGTCACAGGAAAGAACAACCATTTGTTTCACCCTCTCTTGTAACCATCGCCGCAGCCCCCTACCCTCCACACCAACTACAAACCGGCCCAAATGCTGCTCCACCGCTTCAATCACCGCCTCCGGTGTTACAGCTACAGTGCGAACAGACTCAGGCCTTGCAGCAGGCAAGCCCTTTCCATCAAACGCTCCCACTCCCTCGTTCCCTGAGCTGCTCTCACCCACAGAACCTCTATCTTGTCTGTTCCCTCACTCCATCTACCACCCTTTCACTGGCATCCTCCTGCTTTGCACCTCGCTTGCTGCCAGCAAGACCCCTCAACTCCCCTCCCAGAAGCTCCCACAAAGCATCAAACAACCCCAGCACCTCACCCTCCCTACCCTCCTTCACCACTCCTCTCCCACCCCCGCGTCTACCAAACGGCCACGGAGCAGGCGTGAAGAAATCCTCTATGCCGACGGGAATGCTCGCGAGCTCGCCTGTGAGCGTGCGGCCGTCCTGGCTCGTGAACGTTACGGTTACCGCCACGAGGATCGGCGCCGGCCAATGGGGCGAGAACTCAATGTCAAACGGTGTCTCATCTGTGACTGCTAGCAGGTGGTGGGAGGATGAGGAGGGGTTGCTCCTTGTGAAATCCGCGCTGAAGGTTTCTTCCTCCTCTTCCTGCTCTTCCTGCTCTTTCTCCTTCTGTTCTGCTGTCTCCGGCTCATCTGCTGACGCCGTCTTGTCGTCTTGTTTGAAAACAATAATGCGCATGCTGTCCTTCGTAGTGTCTCCCCCCTCCACACTCTCCTCCTCCTCATCCACATCCTTTTCCTCTTTTCTCAGCACTCCTTCCTCACAATACTCCTCTTCATCCCACTCCTCCTCATCTTCCCATGCCTCCTCTTCTCCATCCTCCCCCGTCACCCCCTCATCCCGAGCCATCATCAGGCACGGAATCAGGCACGGCTCAATAGGTCCGGTAAACACCGAGGCTCGGAAACTCAGCTCCACAGCAAATACCCCTACCACAGCTCCCATGATCATATCAATGGCTGACGTGGCAGCAGCAGCAGGAGCAGAAGCAGAACCACCACCCATGCCACCACCCGCACCACCTTCTGTACCAGCAACCCTAGTCTGCCCCAGTGTGCTTATATCGAAGGCAAGCTCCTCTCTAGCCGTTGGCAGCAGCTTCAGCACACAGGGCACCCGTACCCAGAACCCCTCAGCCTCCTCATACCCTATAATGTCATCCTCGTTATGGTCACTGTTCTCACCTAAACCACTCTTACTGCTGCTGGTACTGGTAACCGCACGAATGATGGTCGCTGACCCTGTGTCGCCAGGCTGTCGTCGTGCCAGAGTGGCAAAATACTCGTCCAAAATGGCTGCCAGCTCAGCAGTGTGCGTGTCCAGCAAGGCAAGAGTGTGCTGACTCTGCGACCGATACCAGCTAGAAATCTCAGCCTGCTGCTGCTGCTGCTGCTGCTGCTGCTGCTGCTGCTGCTGCTGCTGCTGCTGCTGCTGCTGCTGCTGCTGCTGCTGCAGGTGCTGCAGGTGCTGCAGGTGCTGTGGTGCAAATGAGTGGTGCTTAGTTGACAAAGTGAGAGACTTGAATTCATTACTGCTTGACCCAGCAGCAACAACAGCAACAGAAGCTGAAGCATGGCTAACCTCCTTGACAGCACAAGCAGCAGCAGCGGCAGCCTCACCCTTTTCCGCCTCCCTTCCCTTCGCCCACTCCCCCCCAGCCCCCTTCTTGTCCGCATCTGAGGGGAACAGGACAAGCTCCCAGGAGTCTGGAACGGCCGGCGGCTGGCGCCGTTTGGCCTGTAGCACGCGTGACAGCTGCACGGGGCCTTTGGGCGGCGGACGGGGGTGAATGGGATCCAAGGGAATGGTGGCAAGAGAGGAGGAGGAGGTAGAAGTGTTGGCAGTGGTGCTGCTGCTGCTGCTGCTGCTGCTGGAGTTGGTGGTGTTGAGGTTGGTTTTTGGTGTCGACTTAAGTGGAGTGGCGGTGGTGATTGGAGCAAGATGGGAAGAAGGGAGGGATGTGGATGCAGAAGCAGAGACAGAGGAGGAGAGGGAAGAGGAGGAGGAAGAAGAAGTGGGGACGACAGATGAGATCGCTGAAGCTGGTGATGAGGACAGCAATGAAGCTGAAGAGTTAGCTGCAGCAGCAGCCAGGGCAGAAGCAGCAACAGAAGCAGACGTAGCAACAGGAGCCGAAGCAGCAACGGTAGGAGAAGCAGCAGCATCTGCAGCAGCAGCAGTTGACACGAACAAATCCCCAATGGCTGAAAAAATACCCATCCGTCCCTGTCCCCCCTTGCCAGCAGCACTACCATCCGCTCCCCTGGCACTTGCGGCTGCAGCAGCGGCAGCAGCGGCATCGGACGCAGCAGCAGCGCGAGCAGCAGCGGCGGCGGCAGCAACAACGGCTTTAAGAGCCGAGGAGGAGAGGGAGGAGGAGGGTGAACTGATGACTGCAGCGATCTCTGCAAACGCTGCTGCATCTGCCATGTTCACGGACTGGGGCTGGGACGGCGGTCCTTCTGCTGTGTCCGCTAAAAGTCGATTTGCTGCTGCTCTCGCCGCCGCCGCTGCTGCTGCTGCAGCTGCTGCTCCTGCTCCCGTTGCTGCTCCTCCTCCCCCCACTCCTGCTCCTGCTGCTACTGCTTCCGACGAAGTGACATCAGTTCTGGTGGTAGCCGCAGCAGCGGAAGAGGCGAGAGCAAAGAGAGCACCACCGGAAGCAGCAGAGAAATCCCCAGCGGGAGTGTGAAAGAGGGGAGGTGGAAACGGTGCAGCAGCAGCAGGAGCAGGTGCCGTGATAGGGGGGCGGCCAGGGGCAGGGGGCAGGGATGTGGAGGAGGAGGAGAGGAGGAGATGACGAATGATGTGGCCTGGTGCTGATGTGATGAGGCGGAGGAAGAACCTGTGGGCATGGGGACAGAGGATGGGGCCGAGGAATGGGGGGAGGAAGGGGAAGGAGATAATGCTTCTGTTTGTGGCAGGCAGAACCTGTGATGGGGAGATGACGGATGATGTGACCAGGTGCTGATGTGATGAGGCGCAGGAAGATCCTTTGAGTGTAGGGGCAGGGGAAAGGGGAGAGGGAGAGCGGAAGGGAAAGGGGAAGGGGAAGGGGAAGGGGAACGCGAAGGGGAAGGGGAGGGGAAGGGGGAGGGGAAGGGAAGGCGGAAAGGGGAGGTGGCAGGGGAGCAGGGAGGGAGAGGGGCAAAGTGAAGGGGGAGGGGAAGGGAATGAAGGGAATGGATGTAGCAGATTCTATGATGTGATGTGATGTGATGTGATGTGATGTGATGTGATGTGATGTGATGTGATGTGATGTGATGTGATGTGATGTGATGTGATGTGATGTGATGTGATGTGATGTGATTAGTGCATCCATTGCAAGCATTGACCAGGTTCTTCCCTGCATGCACCTGGCTCTGTCCCTGAGTGTGATATCCGGATGCTGGAGAGTGACAACCGAGAGGAGGCGTGTCATAAGACATCTCAAAACACGAACGAGGTGCGCACCTGGCTCTGTCCCTTAGCGTTATGTGATCACAGGGACAAAGAACCATACACACCTGGCTCTGTCCCTCAACGTGATATCCGGGTGGTGGAGAATGACAAACGAGAGGAGGCGCGTCAACGGGTCAAACGCCACGGATAGGGCATGGCTTGTGAGAATGGTGCTGCGGAGGAGAGGGGAGAAAAGGAATAGGGGAAATGAATGGTGCCACAAAGAAGAAGAAAAAGAAAAGAGCAAACACTTGGGATTTGAATCATGAACAATTGAGGCGCCTCAACAAACCAGTGCACACGCTTGTGTTGTTTTGTTTTCATTGTTTTTATTGTTTTGTCTTGTTTTTGTTCTTGTTTTTGTTTTATTGTAATTATTATTTTAAAATCCCGTTTAACAAAACGACCGCCCCAAGAATCAATGCGGTTGCTCCATTGAACGGTTCAGCTCACCGGCAGATGGAGAGCACTTGCGCCGTGTCCTCCCATGAAGCCCCCTCCGCATCTGCTGCAGCAACATCACCCCCACTCATACCCATACCAGACCATCTTGCCATCCCACCAACCTCCCTCCTCCTTTCCTCCTCCCTCTCTCCTGCCTCTCCTCTTCCCCCTTTCCCTCCCCTCCTCCCTCCCCCCTTCCCTCCTCCCCCTGTCCCTCTGTTCCGCCTCTCCCTTTCGTTTTGCAGAAACGCGAGCAGGAGATCCACAATTGGGCCAGGTGGCACGTCGGGATTGGCCGAGAGAGAGTGCAGGAGGGGGAGGTACCGCGGCACGGAGCAGAGGGAGAGAGGCACCAGGAGCGGCTGGGCCGTCAGATATCCCGCTGACCTGGCAGATCGTGCGGTGGAGGTGAACGGAGCAGGGAGGGGAGGAATCGGAGGCGGAGGAGGAGGAAGAAGAGGAGAAGGAGAGAGAGAGGAAGAAAGAGGGGAAAGGCTGTAGGGATCATGGTCAGCAGAGGCAGAAAGAGAGGGATATTGATTGCTTGTGTCTGCAGATGTGGCAGGAGGAAGGGCGGGAGAGGATTGGCTGAGGAGAGGGATGAGTTGGGAGAAAAGGGTGCGATGGAGTGCGCGGGAGAGCGGGAGGTGGTGGGGGCAGTGCGCGAGACAGGAGAGGAAGAAGAGGAGGTTGGGGATGTGATCAGGCATGGCTGTGAGCGTGCTGAGCAGATAGGCTTGCACGGATGAGAGAATAGATGGGGGAGGGGCGGGAGTGGAGAGTCCAGGTGCTAGGAGGGAGTGCTGCCTGGATAGGCCTGGTCTGTTGGTCTCGTGCTCTGGTGATGCTATGTGGATGGTCAAGGGGTGGTGGGTCTGTAGTGGGAGGGAGGAAAGAGATTGGGAGGCGTCGGAGTGGGAGTGGGGGAGAGGTATGGAGGAAGGGAGGGAGAGGAGGGGAGAGGAAGGGAGGTGGGGGGAGGAGAGGAGGGGGGAGGAGAGGAGGGGGAGGGGTGTGGCAGTAAGAAAGCAGCGGAGGGTGCGGAGGGCGAGGAGGGAATCGAGGGAGGAAGGGGGGAGGTAGTAGAAGAGAGAGATGGCCACCATAGACTCGTGCAGCAGCTGCTGCTGCAGACGGCTGGCAGACAGGAATGCGTCAGCGACAGCGGAATCCCCTAATTGGCTCGCCGCAGCTGCGTCTGGAGTGGGGGGCGCTGACGCGGCGGATGCTGACGTGGCGGATGCTGACGTGGTGGCACGTGCGGATTCGTTGAGCGCAGAGGAGCAGAGCGCGGAGGCGGCGATGCGGGCGAAGGCAAGGGTCTTGGCGGCCTTGAGGGCGAGCGGATCGAAGAGGCGGATGGAGAGAGCCGCAGCTAGCTGGGGTGCTGGCAGGATGGGCCTCCTCCTGTGCTGTTGTGAGAGTGCGTGCTGCTGCTGCTGCTGCTGCTGGTACTGCTGCTGCTGCATGTGAAGCTGCAGCTGATTTCCACCAAAACCACCATCCCCTCCTGCTGCCACCCCGTCGACTTCCAGGGCCAGCAGCCACCGCAGCGCCAGCTGGCGCACCGCGATTGGCTGCCAGGGCTCGTGGGCCAATCGAGCCACTCGCAGCACGACAGCTCGCTTGGTGTGAGCTGAAAGGAGGTCTGATGGTGGTGGTTGTGGTTGTGGTGGGATGGCAGATGAGACAAACGGAGAAGGTTGAGTGGCGGGACGGGCAGAGGAAGGAATGGTGGGAGCATATGAAGGGATGGTGGCAACTGAAGCACCGGAGGAGGAGGAGAGGGAGGAGGAGCGTGTGATGGTGCCTTGAACCTGCACAAACCCATGAGCCTGGTTGAAGCTGTGAGGTTGATTGAAGCTGTGAGAATGGGTGAAGCTGTGTGTGCGGCTGTGCGTGGGGGTGGAGGTGGGGGAGGAGCAAGAGGAGGAGGACGGGGAGGGGGATGGGGATGGGGAGGAGGGGCGGGATAGGGGTGACGGTGGGGGGGGCGGGAGGGGTGGAGAGGGAGGTGGCGACAGGATGTGTTGAAGCATGTAAAGAGCTGCAGGCGGGAAGGGGGGGCGGGAGGGGTTGGGGGGGGGAGGGGGGGGGGAGGGTGGTGTTGGAGTAAAAAAAAAAAAAAAAAAAAAATCTTAAGGCGGTCAGGAGCAAGCATGAGGAAAATAATATGATAAAATCTGAGCCTAGCGCTTACATGGAGCGAGCAAGCAAGTACCTGTGTGGGCTTGCAGAGAGGATGATGCACTACCCAGCGATCCCATGTCTTGGAGGGCTTGAGACTTGAGAAACGGAAGGTTCAGAGAAGCTGCCACCGCCGCCACGTCAGCGAGCACGCACGCGAGGACGGGCGGCGACGCCAGCTGGCACGCGTCGAGCAGCGCTGAGATGGCCTTGCGGATGGCACGCTGGCCTGATGTGATTGTAACGAGAGCAAGGGGAGGAAAGGGAAGAAGCAATTGCAGTGAGAGGGAGGGGAGGAAAAATGTGATTGTAATGAGAGAAAAAACGTGAGGTGCTGACAAGTGATTATAAGACTGTGACGGTAAAAGGATGGGTGGGAGACCACAGATGTGCATCACAGTGAATGAAAAAACAAAAATTACATGGAAGCAGGTCTCACGAGGAAGCAGGTTGTGTAACTTGTCACGACAGTGAAAGGACACAAAACAGCCCGTAATTTGCACCACCATAGCAAAACGGCTTCCTTCTTCACACCTCCACAACAACCCCTTCCCGTTCGCAATCTCAACACTCCAACCCCCTCGTCATCCATCTCTCTGCTGACTTTTGAGTCGACTCTCAACTTTTGTTTCGACTCGTTATTTCTTCTCACCAGCAATGGGCAGTTGCGATGGCACGATCTCAACACCCCCCACCTCCGCACCCCCTCCCCGTCCCTCACTCTCCTCCCCCTGCTGCCTTGTCAGCAAAAGCCCCCAGGGGAGAGGCAGGGAGAAGGGAGGAGGGGCGCTGGGGTCAAAGGGGAGAGCTAAGAGCGAGTCAGCTTGAGGGGGGCCGATGGTGAGAGGGCGGATTTTGAAAGAGGCAGCAGAGGCAGGGAGGGAGGAGGCGGAGGTGAGATGAGCGGCGTGTGCATGCTGGTGCTGTTGCTGGTGGTGGTGCTGCTGCTGCTGTTGCTGGTGCTGCTGATGGTGCTGGTGATGGTGCTGCTGCTGATACTGCTGGTAGTGTTGGTGGTGGTGCGAATTCTGGGTGTGATGGTGGTTTGATTGGTGGTGAAGGGAGGAGAAAGAGGAGGTGGAGGAGGAGGGATGCAGGCGGGAAGGCGAGGGGGACGGGGAGGGCTGGGGGGCGTGGGCAGAGGCGGAGGCGAGAGAGGAGAGGGAGGAGATGGAGGAAACGGAGGAGAAGGGGGAACCGCCTGAAGACGTTTTGGTGAGAGAATGTGATGACCCGGCAAAGAATGTTGTACAGAGATTCTGAATGGCGGGGTGGGGAGCGGGGAGGGGGGGTGCTTCATTGGTAAGAGATGGAGGAGAGGAAGGAGAAGGGAGAACCGCCTGAAGATGTTTTGGTGAGAGACTGGGCTGACCCGGCAAAGAAGGTCGTACATAGGTTCTGAACGGAGGGAGGGGAAATTGAATAGGATTGGTAAGAGATGGACGAGAGGGAGGAGAGGTCCCACTGACAAAACGACGATTTTTTAGTCGACTAAAAGAAAACAAAAGAAAATAAAGTCAACTAAAAAAAAGAGCGAGGAGCCCTCCAGCTCACATGCATGTAGATGCAATTGTATCATGCATGTAGATGCAATTGTATCATGCATGTAGATGCAATTGTATCATGCATGTAGATGCAATTGTATCATGCATGTAGATGCAATTGTATCATGCATGTAGATGCAATTGTATCATGCATGTAGATGCAATTGTATCATGCTATTCCCAGGGGCCAGGGCATACCTTGACGATTGCCGACAGCAGCAGCACGTATCCTTGCCACAAAAACGAGCGTCCCAAAGCTAGATTCGCCAGCACGTGCCCGCCGTACTGCTGCAGCACACACGGGTACGCGCCTTCCAGCTCACGCATACTCACACACAGAACCACCCCCACATCATACCTTGACGATGGCTGACAGCAGCAGCACGTATCCTTGCCACACAAATGACCTTTCTAGAGCCAGATAGGCCAGCACGTGCCCGCCATACTGCTGCAGCACGCACGGGTAAGCGCCCTCCAGCTCACGTAGGCCGAGACACGCCGCCTGGCGGATGAAGCGGTCGGCGTGGTTTGTCCTTTTTGCGGCGAAGAGGAGCAGGTCAACGAGGGAGGAGAGGAGATCAGGAAAGAGATCCATTGCCTCGAGCTGGAGGGGGGCGAGGGGGAGAAGAAGGGGGGAGGGTGGCATGGGAGGTTCAATCAAGAGAGTGATGATGGCTGACAAGGGAGGTGAGGAGATCAGGAAAGAGATCCATTGCCTCGAGCTGGAGGGGGGCGAGGGGGAGAAGAAGGGGGGAGGTAGGGAGGGAGGGAGGGAGGGAGGGAGGGAGGGAGGGAGGGAGGGAGGGAGGGAGGGAGGGAGGGAGGGAGGGATGGAGGGAGGGAGGGAGGGAGGGAGGGAGGGAGGGAGGGAGGGAGGGAGGGAGGGAGGGAGGGAGGGAGGGAGGGATGGAGGGAGGGGGAGTGGAGGGGAAGGAGGGAGGAGAGGGTATAAAAAAATGTGGGGATGACGTTAAAGTTGAGTGGTATTGAGGCGCCCCATGGGCACCCAATGTACATGTATGGGTGCACAGCAGATGGAGGTGGGGTGAGTGCAGGCAGGCACCGGCTGCTGTCTCTGAGTTAAAATTGCCTCACAACTCCACTGTTTAGACACCGCAGCAGCAGCAGCAGCAGCAGCACGGCACGCACCTGGATAAAGACGGATGGGATTGCAGACACGACCTGCGCCCACAGCCCAGCAGGCAGCGCTGCTGCTGCTGCCGCTGCTGCTGCTGCTGCTGCTGATGCCCATATTGATTATTTTACACACCGCAGCAGCACGGCACGCACCTGTAGGAAGACGGCCGCAACTGCAGACGCTAGCTGTGCCCGCAGCCCAGCAGGCAGCGCTGCTGCTGCCGCTGCTGATGTTTTTGGTGCCTCACAGCACGTAACACACCTGTATGAAGACGGATGTGATAGCAGACACTAGCTGCTGCCGCAGCCCAGCAGGCAACGTTGCCATTACAGCTGCCGACACCGCCTCCCCTCCTCCACCCACAGCGCTTACACCCCCACCCCTCCCACCCCCTGCCGCCGCTGCCAGCTGTGCCGCTGACGCTGACTGTACCGATGCCAGCTTGCCTGCTGCTGCTGACTGTGATGCAGTGGCAGTGCCTGATGCGTACGGAGAGGAAGAGGGGTGGTTGGGATGGGTGGAGAGGGATGCGGAGGCGGGGAAGGCAGGCACGGCGGCGGAGGAGGAAGAGGAGGAGGGAGGAGGGTGGTAGTGAGTGAGCGAGGCGAGGAGGGAGAGGAGGCGCTGCAGCGTGGGACGAGCGGTCATGGCTGCTTCAAGAAGGTGGGCCGAGGGGAAGGCGAGAGACGAGAGAGACGCACTGGAAGAGCCACTATTGCCACCATCACCACCACCAGCAGCACCACCGGACCCAGCACCAGTGGCAGCGGATGTGCTTGTATTGAAGGCGGTGATGCCGGAGGGGGAGGGCAGGAGGTTGGGCAGGGGGAGAGAGAGCTCCCTTTCTCCCAGCACCAGCAGCAGCGCGTGTTCCTCCAGGAACGACAGCAGCTGTGCCTGTGAAGGGGTTAAGTGGGGTGAAGAGGGGTGGGGTGGGTAACGGCAGCGGGAGCTCCCTTTCTCCCAGCGCCAGCAGCAACGCGTGTTCCTCCAGGAACGACAGCAGCTGCGCCTGTGGTGCGGTGGGGTAGGGTGGGTTGGGGTGGGGTGGGGTGGGGTGGGGTGGGGTGGGGTGGGGTGGGATGGGGTGGGGTGGGATGGGGTGGGGTGGGTTGGGGTGGGGACTCACCGGGACTCACCTTGACTCACTCCCATAGAATACCAATCTTAACCCCTCCATTCGCGTGTCTCCCTCCCTTTTCCTCCTTCCCTTCCCCTCTCGCCCCTCCCCTTTCCTCTCACCTCCCCTAACTCTCCCCTCCCCTCCTCCTAGAATCTCCTACAAAACTGTCCCCACTCCCCCCTTTACTCCCCCACTGCCTCCCCTCACCTTGCTAGCAGCGGGTTCGCGGTCCTTCAGAATGACGGTAATCCCAAGGTCGAACAGCACGGGCGGCGGGTACAGCTGCACCCATTGGTTCTGCATCTCGTGCGATTCGTTGAATTCGGACATGAGCGTCTGCCAGTCGTGCCACTGCATCCCGCCCTTTCCGCCGAACCGCGACGCCGCCGCTGCCATCGCCGCCATCGCCGCCGCCGCCATGATTGGTCGCTGAACGGACGGACAAATTTAACGGACGGACGGGTGCGACGGGCTACAGCCGGAGGATTGGAGGACTAGTGGATGGATGGAAGGACGGACGGATGTGTGGAGCGTGATTCGCTGACGGGATCGGTGGATGCGAAGCTTTCATGCGAAAGCATCGCATGGAGCGACGGGTACTCGGACAGGCTTGCCATGACTCACGGATTTAGCACTGATGCTGTGATTGGATACTCGGTAGAATATCAAGTCTGTGCTCAGGGGTCAGCATAGTCCAATCCATCAGTGAGTATACTACTACACAATTCCTTGTGCTCCAGGAAACTTACTCCATACCAGTTAACATCGATGTGCATCCACAACCGTGTTAACATTATTTTTATTTGTCATAATCCATAATAATTATTTTCCTACAAATGTGCTCGTATTGAACCTATGGTAGTGGATGGTATCTTTGAAGTGATATTTCACTTTCTTGTGAATTTATTTCATTTACTTCAGTTTTCTTCAAGGCGATTCTTTACAAAACCATCCCCGCCTTGGTGTCGCTCACCTCCAACTCCCACTCGTTTCATTCGTTGCACTGCCTCACTCGGCGACAGGATCCATCCAGGTCAGCAAGATCTGGAGTCCGTTTGGGGTGGTATACAGCGAACAGAGAGTGTAACGTGACGTCCCTAAGTGCACAATGTTGCTCAACTCCTAAGCTTAGAAAACCGGACTCCTCACTTCACAATTCGTGTCATTCCGTTTCAACTTACGTTTCGAGTCTTTCGTACACCCTACAATTACGATGTTCACGGAACGCATCCCTCGCGCGATTGCGCCCCATTTCATGGCACATCCTTCCCGCACCACTCCATTGTGCCCCATGCACCCCTTGCACAACTCCCACATCTTGATTTCTGAGATTTTCGACACCTTGACAAAAGATTGACATTCTTGCAGATCGTTGATTTGTTGTTCTTAGCATCGAATCGTGAAGGAAGAGAGAGACGACTTTTCAACGTCCGTTTTATTCTAAATCTCAGCGGGCATTTCATGCGCCACGAGCATCCCGGCTTCGATGGAAACGACAAATATGCCGCGTGGAGTTGGAGGCCAAAACAGCCGAGTCGCAAACGCGCTGCTTTCCCGTGCTGACAGTGACCAATGTCGATACCAGCGCCGGCGCTCGGCAGCTCAGAACCCTGTTGTCCGACGCGATTCGAGGAAAGGAGTCGTCCCAGCACTGGATCCCCATAACCTTCCTTCACTCCATCCTTGCATACTGGTAGACCGCTTCTCGCGGTTTTCCGGGTGGCTCCCCCTTCTCTCCCTCCTTCTTCTCGTCCTTTCCGCCAAACCCGGCGTTGCCGACACTCGGCTAATGTCGGGCGGGTTTATCCGCGACGCCGTTCTCTCTCACTGCGGACCGCACGTGCCGGAACTGTCGTCTTCTGATGGCGCTGCCGCCCCGCTCCCCGCCGTCCCCTTCCTCCTCTCCTCCAACTCCGTCATTCGCGGCAAATGGCGCTACCAAGACCCTCCCGCTTCTGCCGCCTCCGCCGCCGCCGCCGCCGCAGCAGCAGCAGCAGCAGCCGAGGGAAACGACACTTCATCATCGCCGGCAGCAGCAGACGCAGCAGACGGCTCGCCGGCAGGATCAGCCGGCCAGCCGGCAGTCCGGCACAAGGTCCTGATGACCGACTCGGGCGCGTTCGATTTCTGGACGGAGCACGTCGTGCCGACGGAAAACGGCACGCTGGACGTGGGCGCGCTCGTTTATATCACATCGCAGACGGAATGGGCGGAGAGCTACATGGGGACGGTGGTGGTGCGCGCGGAGGGGTATTTTTCCATGCGCGCGGGGGTGCTGTGCATGGTGGGGTGCCAGAGCCGGTTGGGGGGAGGCGCGGGGGGAGGGGAAGGGGAGGAGTCCGCGGATGCGGAAGATCCGTACGCGGATCCGCGGAGGTGTAACATGCTGCTTGTGCTGAAATTCAAGGCGAAGAACGAGGTATGTGATGTGCGTGGTGGGTTGCGGTGCCTGGTGGTGAGATGTGGTGCTAGGTGGTAGGGTGGTGTGGGATGCGTATAGCGCCCATCAGGCAGGCAGAGTTGGGCATGCGCCTTGAAGGGCCAAGGAGTTGTAGTATGCTGCTAGTGCTGCGGTTTAAGGCGAAGAACCAGCAGCGCCAGGAGCACCAGCAGCACCAGCAGCAACACCAGCAGCACCAGCAGCACCAGGAGCACCAGGAGCACAAGGTGTAGTGTAGGTGTGTTCCTTGCCTTTTGTCTTGCCTGTGGTGGGCTGGCGCGTGGTGGGTGGGTGTAACACTATGGCTGAATCTAACGACGAAACGAATCACTTCTGAGATTTCTAAAACACGAAACTTCCCAGAAAGCAAAAAAAAAAAAAAAAAGCTCCAGCTATGTAAATGAGTACTCTAAAGAGGGATTGAAGGTTTTCCCAGGCAGCTTAGAGGAGCCGAGGATGAGTGTCAGAAGAACGCCCAGGAGCAGGGGAGCGCATTGCAGTGTGGTGTGGCTGCCTGGAAACTTCCCCTTTGCCCTACCTATCGCTCTATGCCGCCTACCACCCTCTCTTCCCCTTCTCATCACCCCACCAGGCGGAGTGGCGGAAGAACGCCCAAGAGCAGGCGGAGGAGCGGAAGAACGCCCAAGAGCAGGCGGAGGAGCGCCTGGAACGGATTGCAGTGTGGTTTCCTGGGGGCTTCACCTGGTACTCTCCCTCCTCCTTGCCCCTCCATCCCTCTATGTCTCTCTCCTTTCCGCCCACTCCCCCCCTCACACTGCCAGGCGGAGTGGAGGAAGAACGCCCAGGAGCAGGCAGTGGAGCGGTTGGAGCGAATAGCCGTGGCCAAGTTCGGGGTCAACGGGGAGGGCAAGAGCAACGCCGCTGCTGCTGCTGGCAGCGGTGTGGGGGAAGAAGGGCAGGGAAAAGCAGGAGCAGCGACAGCAGCGGCGGCAGGAGTAGGGGTGATCGACCCGCACACTCTGAAGGAACGCATGGATATCACGAAGGCAGACCTGCTGGACGAGTTGGGATCCGAGGTGGATGATACTAGCATTGTCGCCGACGTGCTTGTAATGGAGGGCACTGTAACGAGTACAATCCCGGTGGAGCAGGCAGGGGAGGGGAGCGAGTTCTTTGGGCCGCTGGCAGTGGCGGGGGAGACGGAATCACTAACACAGCAAGCGGAGCTCTTCGATTGGGACATGGTGGTCTCGGCCGTGCTCTCTGCCTTCCAGGCGCTGGCAGTGTTTTCTCAGGTGGGTCAGCAGTGAATGGGGCAGTAATATAGACAGGCAGGCGGCAGCAGGCGGAGCTGCTTGATTGGGACATGGTGGTCTCGGCTGTTCTCTCCTCCTTCCAAGCGCTGGCAGTGTTTTCTCAGGTGGGTCAGAAGGCAGTCAATGGGGCAGTACCAATTAACGGGGGAGACGGAGTTACTGTCTCAGCAGGCGGAGCCGCTTGATTGGGACAGCTCTCTCAGTCGCCTTCCTTTAATAACCCCTCTCTTTGCTCTCCTACCCCCTCTCCTTCCTCTGCTGTCCCATCTCCCTCAAAGGTCGCCACATGGGCGGAATGGCTTCTGAATTGGCCCATGCCCTCTTAAGATGACGCCTCCCATACGAGCACGTCTTTATCACACTGGCCCAGTTTGCACTAGCAGCTAATTTGGACGGAGGTGGTTATCAAACTGAGCCAGTGTGATAAAGACATGCTCGTACGGGAGGCGTCGACTTAAGATGACATGGGCAAGTTCAGAAGCCATTCCGGCTATATGGCCACCTTCCCCCTCTCACAATGGTCGCCTCCTAGATCATTGTCTTCACCTCCTTCTGGCTACGAGACCTCTACTACCCGCTCTCCTTCCTCTCCTCAGACGTCCTCTCCTACCTCCCCACCTTCCTCCCCCACCTTCTCTAGCGCGTGCTCTCTTTTACCCCTCCACTTACTCACTCCTCCATCTGTTTTCCTCCCACCTTCTTCTGCTTCCACTCCCCCCACCCCAGGTCTTACATGTCCGTTCACACCCCCACGCGCACTTCACCTCGCTCACAATGATTGCAACCCAGATCATCGTATTCGCATCCTTCTGGGTGCGAGACCTCTACTACCCGCTCTCCTTCCTCAGACGTCCTCTCCTACCTCCTCACCCAGCTCGCCACTCTCCCCCACGCCATCGAGTTCCTCACCCTCCTCCTCTACGTCCTCCTCTTTGTCTCCGTTGAAAGGAAGCGGAAACGTGCAGCAGCGGCGTACGCAGCAGCAGCCAGCGGCCTCCCTGTCAGCCCCTCCTCCTCCGCTGCTATTTACGCCTCCCGACCCGCCTTCTCGCCATCCTCCCCCTCCTCTGTCTCCTCCCGCTCCCCTTCCTCCTCCTCCTCCGCCTCCTTTTCCATCTCCTCCGCTTCGTCTCATCCCGGAAGAAACGCTGTTAAAAGCACTCCACCCAGAATCACCGCTCCTCCGGGAGAAACCTTCGGAACCCACACCACCGCCCAGCACCACGCACAACCCCACCAGCAGCAGCCGGTGCAGTTGCTACCTCCCCCGAGTGACGCCTACGTGGCGCTGACGATCATGGGCATGGTGGGGGTGGGCGGCGGCATTCTCTACGTGTGGGACGCTACAGACGTGCTGCTACAGCTGGCCCACTTCCTCTTTCTGCTGCCACAGTCCATCGCCTTTGCCATCTGGCAACCACCGCTCGCCGCCTGCCGTGGTGTCTCCCTCAAATTTGCCGTCGGCAACTGGGCAGCCCAGGTGCGATTCCGTAGGCCCTCTTGCTGTCCTCAGAAATGGGTCTCTCAGGTACATTGGTGCTCAGGTGAGCTTTCATTCTCTACGTGTGGGACGCTACAGACGTGCTGCTACAGCTCGCCCACTTCCTCTTCCTGCTGCCACAGTCCATCGCATTCGCCATCTGGCAACCCCCACTCGCTGCCTGCAGAGGTGTCTCCCTCAAATTCGCTGTTGGAAACTGGGCTGCTCAGGTGACCTTCCTTGGGCCACGTGCTGACTTGATCTGGAATGAGCTCCACTACTGGCAGCCCTGATTGTTCGTTGTGATTCCACGCTCGCTTCTCCTCTCCCCGCATCTAGCAACTCTAGTTTCTTCTCAGTTTCACCTTCCACTCCTTCCCTCCTCTTCCCCATTTCCCCACTCGGCCGCCCATCTGCTTCTCCCTGCAGACCATCTGGCTGTCTTTTACTGATCAGATACAAAGCGTTCTTCCCCTTCCCCTCGAACCCCCCTTTTTTTTCCCACAGTTCATCTGGCTCGTGTTTGACTGCTGGCACCCCCGGCTTCTCGGCTACGATGCCCACTTCCCCTTCCCACACGCCTGCTAACTCTACCCTCCTCCCCCTCCCCCCATCGCGTATGTCACTCTTTCTCATTTTCCCTCCAGTCCATCTGGCTTGTCTTTGACTGCTGGCGGCCCCGCCTCCTCGGATACGATGCACTCTTCCCCTTCCCCCACGCCTACTTCTGGCCCTTCTTCATCATCATGACGTGGCACCTAGCTGTCTTCCTCACACAGTGGAAGTTCGGACCCCTGTGTGTGACAAACACTTCTTTACACGGTTACGCTGCTGTCCCGTCGTCCAACGCGGAGGTAGACGGGGTGGGCAATGGAGTGGTGTAGGTGTTACGGTAGCTTAAATGAGCGTTTCAATTCAACACTCCTTCGTCCAGCCCACCCCATCTCCTGGGCAATGGATGAACGTCTCAACACTCCTGAGGCGTTTAAAACATTTTATTAGTTTTGCGCCTAAATACGGTAGTGGTGTAGATGACTTCAATGAAGGTATCAACGCTCCTTCTAACACCGTTTGCCACCATCTTTACTCGCAACCTTCTGTATCTTGGGGGGCTGAAAGACTTTCACACAGGTTTCTCAGGACCAAATAAGTGATTGCTAAGGTTATCTGAAACAAACCATGCCTTTTCAAGGAGTATGGTTGCTTCCCGGCATGACTCCATGCATCGCCTCTTTCCGCTAACCATGATCCTCAATCCGAGGTCGTGTGCTGATGGTGGGGTTGTTGAGTAGCTGTTGTATGGCGCTGTAAGCTTACCGTTGCTGATATTGCTAGTATCCCAGTCCGATTGAGAGATTTCTAGGGCTCCTACGAGTGCTTATCTGAAAACAAGCACAAGGCCGTATCAGATTTTCCTGTCAGGTAAACACGAATGATAGAAGGGCTAGCTCGGTTAGCTCGTTCATGGTCATAAAAGTCCATATGGATATGTAATGAATGGAAGATAATATGTAGAGTGTTGTTATCACCGATAGGTCGACGGACTGAGTAGATTCTCCTAGCGAGTACAAAGCCCCTCTCCTTGGTTGGAAGGTCCAATCCACGCCCTCGCGTGCAATCATTTTGCGCTTCGCAGTGGATGAATTGGAGCGCTGACGCATTTGACAGCGCTGATACGAGCACATTCCAGGCCTGAGTCGTATTCACCTTTCATTGGCCAACGTATTCTCTTCCACTGATTTGGGCTTCTCGGTGCAGGCTATTCATCCACGTGGCTACAGCATAGATTCTTCGAGGATGCTGAGATGACATGGCACGGCTTCTTTTGTGACCCTTTCGAGGTTATAGCTACCCTTTCGTAAGTGTAGCACCGTCCTGACTCTGTTGGCTGGCGCATTAGGAGTTCTCCACTCAGCTCCTCGAAATCTGTTTGAACACGATTACACGAAACGGCATAATAAATACAACTTTCAAAGTTTTGACGTCTCTGCAGTGAGGGAATTTGTTCGTAAAACTCGAAAATCAGTGTCCTTACACCCTTCGGAATTTCCCCTCGAGTTGAGTCAGCAGCAGGGTGGAACAACAGAGCAGCACAGCAGCACCAAGCAACACCACCTCCAGTCACTGGAGTCCAGTGAGCGATTCTTTCGAAGCTGTCTTTCCTCTGCGACAACAGATTACCACAAGAATACCACACCACCACAGCTCACTCACCACAACAGTCCTCAAGAAAGCTACATGCTTGCTTTTCCCTGGGTCGCGTAGGACGGTCTGCTTGTGCTGTGATCAGACTACGTATCAGCGTAACCTCATTTCCAGCATTAGTTTCGCTGCGAAACGTTCTTCCTTCCGGCTCGCTACCCATCTATCATCAGGAAGTAACTCACTCCTTGCGCAAGTCCACTTTCGGGAAAAGCAGGAAAAAGCTGTCATGGCTTCTCATGTCGCTCCCCTCCAACGGAGCCTTCTCGCGCGCGAGCGCGTCACGGCTGCCGCGATTCCACTCAGTTCCTCTCACAACATTGTCACCCTCCAGAGACGGCTAGGTTCTAGCAGCAAACGCTCGCTCTCCCGTCGACTCCCCTCGTCTCGCGCTACAGCCGTTCGAGCTACAGCTGTCAGCGATGCGCCTTCCCGGGTCGCGGATTCGGGGTCGAGCGGGCTGAACCCAGAACTCGCCAAGTCGCCGTTCAAAGTGATTGTAGCGGGAGCGGGAATCGGCGGTCTGGTGTTCGCGCTGTCGTGCAAGAACCGTGGGATTGACGTGGAGGTAATCAGCAACCAAGTAATTTACATGCTTCTTCGGATAGGCTGTCGAACTAGCTTGTTCTATTCCTTTCCGTCGTAGTAAGGCCTAACTTCCTCAATATAGACAGGACCTTTCCACGTTGCCTCTCCCCTGTTCATCCCCTTCCCCTCTCCCTCCTCCTTTCTTCTTCCCTCCCCCCCTCCCTCCCACACCCCACCATCCCCCCTTCGTGCTGCGCACCCATCAGGTCTATGAGCGGGATCTGACCGCGATTCGCGGCGAGGGGCAGTACCGCGGGCCGATTCAGGTGCAGAGCAACGCGCTGGCGGCGCTGGAGGCGGTGGACCTGCGCGTGGCGGAGGAGGTCATGGCGGCGGGGTGCATCACGGGCGACCGCATCAACGGGCTCTGCGACGGCCTCACCGGCGAGTGGTGCGTGCGACAGTCGCTGTAAGACTGTTTGCAGTCTTTTTTTCCAAAGGACAGAACAAAAACACATAAAATGAAAACACAATCACATCCGGTACGTCAAGTTCGACACGTTCATACCAGTAGCAAAGGGCCGGTTACCAGCGACCCTCCGAGCCGCTCCATCATGTTTACTCTTACTCCCATCCATCTCTCTGTCATCCCCCTAATCCCATCAGGTACGTCAAGTTCGACACGTTCATTCCAGCGGCGAAGGGCCGGTTATTATCGAACCTTGAAGAATCCTCACCAGGTTCACTATTTCCGTATCTCCCTGTAATCCCCCTAATCCCATCAGGTACGTGAAGTTCGACACGTTCACGCCAGCGGCGGAGGGCGGGTTACCAGTGACGCGCGTGATCAGCCGCATGACTCTCCAGCAGATCCTCGTGGACGCTGTTGGCGAGGGCATCATTAGAAACGGGTTGACCGTCGTTGACTTCGAAGACCAGGGCAAGCAGGTGCGTTGCCCATGATGAGGAGCAGGGCGCGATCGTGCCACCAAGTAGAATGAAATTTCCACCTCTAATATTCAACCTCGTCACACCCTTTCCTTCTTTCCCCTCCTCTCCCCCCTTCCATCTGCCATGTTTTCGTGTCAACGCATGCGCACAACAACGTCCGTCCGAACCGAACCCTCCCCACCGCACACCACTAGGTGGCGGTGAAGCTGAGTGACGGCAACAGGCTGATAGCATCTCCACTCCTCCCACGCTTCAACCCACCCCCCGCTCCCTCTTCTCCCCCTGCCCACCCGCTCCCCCTCTCGTCCACCAGGTGGCCGTGAAGCTGAGTGACGGCAGCACGGTTTATGGCGACATGCTGGTTGGCGCTGACGGCATTCGCTCCAAGGTGTGTGCGTGCGCCCGTGGTATCATACTTTCAAATGTCCGGCTCTGAAACTGTCCAGAGCTTGACACGATTTGGTTCGAGGTCATGGGGCATACCGGGGGCGTGAGGCAGGGGAAGCCGAGTGGATTACCAGCTGAGGAGCTTAGGAGATTAGGGTTGACGAGTGGCCCAAGATCTGCGGGAATGAGGTCGTGCTTATGGGTGGGTAGAACACGTCTGCGTTGACTCAAGTAGTGGAATGGGGCTGTGGGGAGGAACGGAACGTGACAAGATCACTTTAAGTCAACCGTAGCCCCCTTGTGCTCTCTTGCTGTCGTATTGCCTTGCTGCCTTTTTGTATCTGGTGCACGGGTGCATGGGTGCATGGGTGCATGGGTGCATGGATGGATGCAGGTACGGCACTTGCAGGTCTAGGAGTGATGTAGCCAATAAGCTCATTCAAAAGTCACCTGTGCTCGCTCTTGCACTCTTGACTGTCTTGCTGTGCCGCCGTCTTTGGTGCATGGGTGCATGGGTGCATGGGTGCAGGTGCGGGACTTGCTGCTGGGAGTGACGGAGCCCACCTATTCGGACTACACGTGCTACACGGGCATCTGTGACTTCGTGCCTCACGATATTGAGACCGTCGGGTGAGTGCTGTACAGTGGCTGCTGAAATCATTCCCTCGTCTGCTGCTGGTAGAGCCTGTTGCCTAATCAAGCTCACCTATTCGGATTACACGTGCTACACGGGCATTTGTGACTTGTGCCGCACGACATCGAGACCGCGGGGTGAGTGAGTGCCTTGCTGTTGGCATTATTGCACTTTCTCTGCTGAAAGAAACATGTCTTGTGCTTCTGAGAAGAGCTATTGAAACTGCTCGTGCTGTTACGGCCGCCGGGGACCGCTCCGCAGGGCTCAAACATCCTTACCCCTCCCCTCCCTCTCCCCCCCAACCACCACCCTCTCTTCCCCCACCAGGTAGCGTGTGTTTCTGGGGCACCAGCAGTACTTTGTGAGCAGCAAACCTTTAACCCCTACCCCAACTCCTCCTTTCCACCCCCTCTTTCCCCCTCTGCCCCCCCCAATCTCCCCCAACCGCCAGGTACCGCGTGTTTCTGGGCCACCGGCAGTACTTTGTGAGCAGCGACGTGGGGTTTGGCAAGATGCAGTGGTACGCCTTCTACAACGAGCCTGCTGGCGGCTCCGACCCCCCCGGCTGTGAGTCTGTTTGACACATTCATGAGTAATTGCTGCTGCCAGGCTCGGTGGCGTGCTGTGAGTGGGTGGTGCTCAGGCGTGGAACAGGCGAAGATGGTGTGGCTGTTGAGTTTCTGTTGAGATTAATTTCAAGATGCAGTGGTACGGTTTCTACAACGAGCCTGCTGGCGGCTCGGACCCCCCCAGCTGTAAGTCACTCCTTGAGTGTGCGCTGCGGGGCTGTGTGACAGGATTGCTTGCGATAGGTAGAGTGGGTGCTGAGAGGCTGTGTGGCAAGATGCAGTGGTACGACTTTTGAGGCGCCTCAAAAGTACGCCTTGTACACCGAGCCTGCTGGCGGCTCCGACCCCCCTGGCGGCTCCGACCCCCCTGGCTGTAAGTCACTCTTTGAAAATTCTCCTAAGACCATGTGGTAGTTGAATGAAGGTTCTCCCTAAGATGAAGTGGTATGCTTTCTACAACAAGCCTGCTGGCGGCTCCGACCCCCCCGGCTGTGAGTTCTGCCAGCTTTCCCCCCCTGTTGCTTCCGAACATGGATTGACAAACCTGCTCGCTCTCGCACACATGCTCTCACCCACACACGTACTTGTCACGTGGGGTTTGGCAAGATGCAGTGGTACGCCTTTTACAACAAGCCTGCTGGTGGCTCCGACCCCCCCGACTGTGAGTCACTCTTAGCTGCCCAGGCGTGTGTGACTCTCACTACCCTTCCTTCCTCCAACATTACTCCCCCCCTGTTAGCTCTAACTTCTCTGCCTTTCCCTCTTTCCCCCCTCCACCCCCCCCAGGTCGCAAGCAGCGGCTGATGGAGCTGTTTGGCAAGTGGCCGGACGGGGTGGTGGACCTCATTCAGGCCCCTCACCCCCTCCCCCTCTCCCCTCTCCCATCTCCCCCTTTTTCCCCCCCTCTCCCCCCAGGTCGCAAGCAAAGGCTGATGGAGCTGTTTGGCAAGTGGGCGGACGGGGTGGTGGACCTCATTCAGGCCACCCCCGAGGAGGACGTGCTGAGGCGCGACATCTACGACCGCATCCCCATCATGCAGTGGAGCAAGGGGCGGGTTACGCTCATGGGCGACGCTGCTCATGCCATGCAGCCCAACATGGGACAGGGCGGGTGCATGGCCATTGAGGTGAGCGAGAGACAGAGTGTCTGTTGAGTTGCCTCAGAAGTGGCCTCAAGAAGCGAGACATCTACGACCGCATCCCCATCCGCTTATGAGTCGACTCAAAAGCATCCCCATCCGCTTATGAGTCGACTCAAAAGCATCCCCATCCGCTTATGAGTCGACTCAAAAGCATCCCCATCCGCTTATGAGTCGACTCAAAAGCATCCCCATCCGCTTATGAGTCGACTCAAAAGCATCCCCATCCGCTTATGAGTCGACTCAAAAGCATCCCCATCCGCTTATGAGTCGACTCAAAAGCATCCCCATCCGCTTATGAGTCGACTCAAAAGCATCCCCATCCGCTTATGAGTCGACTCAAAAGCATCCCCATCCGCTTATGAGTCGACTCAAAAGCATCCCCATCCGCTTATGAGTCGACTCAAAAGCATCCCCATCCGCTTATGAGTCGACTCAAAAGCATCCCCATCCGCTTATGAGTCGACTCAAAAGCATCCCCATCCGCTTATGAGTCGACTCAAAAAGCATCCCCATCCGCTTATGAGTCGACTCAAAAGCATCCCCATCCGCTTATGAGTCGACTCAAAAGCATCCCCATCCGCTTATGAGTCGACTCAAAAGCATCCCCATCCGCTTATGAGTCGACTCAAAAGCATCCCCATCCGCTTATGAGTCGACTCAAAAGCATCCCCATCCGCTTATGAGTCGACTCAAAAGCATCCCCATCCGCTTATGAGTCGACTCAAAAGCATCCCCATCCGCTTATGAGTCGACTCAAAAGCATCCCCATCCTGCAGTGGAGCAAGGGGCGCGTGACGCCCATGGGGGATGCGCCGCATGCCATGCAGCCCGACATGGGGCAGGGCGGGTGCATGGCCATCGAGGTGAGCCGTTTCTCTAGACCTTGAGCGTGTGTCATGGTGAAGGGCCTCACTCCTTTCTCCCTCGATCCCTCCCTTCTTCCCCACTCGTTGCCTCATTTACTCACCCTTTGCTCATTCCCTCCCTTCTCTTCCAGGACGGCTTTCAACTGGCACTCGATCTAGAGAAGGCAGTGGAAGGGGCGAGGAAGAAGACAACGAGCAAGGGAGGCGTGGTTCGGCAGCACATGGACGTGGCGGGCGTGGTGCAGCAGTATGAGGCGGAGAGAAGGCTGAGAGTGGGGGCAGTGCACGGCATGGGGGTGGGCGCGTGCCTCGCTCCCTCCCTCCCTAACTCAACTCAACCACCCACTCCCTCTTGCTCCCTCTTTCTCCCTCATTCCCTCGCTCCCTCCCTCCTTTCTTCCACACTCTCAGGATGGTTTCCAACTGGCGTTGGACCTTGAGAAAGCAGTGGAAGGGGCGAGGAAGAAGACAGCCAGCAAGGGCGGCGTGGTTCGGCAGCACATGGACGTGGCGGGCGTGGTGCAGCAGTATGAGGCGGAGAGGAGGCTGAGAGTGGGGGCCGTGCATGGCATGGCACGCACCGCTGCCATCATGGCCTCCACCTACCGGGCGTACCTGGGGGAGGGCTTTGCTCCACTCTCGGTATGTCAGCCTGTATGCCCGATGGGGTAGGGGAAAGAGGGGGGAGAATGGGGTGAAGAGTGAGAGATTAAGAGGTTGAGAGTGGGGGCCGTGCATGGCATGGCACACACCACTGCCTTCATGGCCTCCACCTACCGGGCGTACCTGGGGGAGGGCTTTGCTCCACTCTCAGTGAGTGAATTTTCCGTGTGTGTGTGTGAATCAGCCAATGAGTCTCTCCCTTTCCCCCTCCCACCCCTTTTTGTTCCCCACCTGCTGGTGAATTGGCGCATTTCCCCATTGAGTGAGACGCCTCATTACGAAATTATATGAGCTGGCGCATTTCGCACTGCCTTCAACTCTTCAGTCAACCGTCACCCCTTTTTCCCTCCCCCTTCCCCCTCTCCCCCCCCGCCTCTCCCCTCCCCGCACAGTGGCTGGTGAACTGGCGCATTCCCCACTGGGGCAAGATGGGCGGACAGGTGGTGATGAAGCTCTTCATGCCCTCCATGCTCAAATGGGTGCTCACCGGCAACACGTGAGTCATGGAGTGCGGTGGGGTGGGGTGCGGTGGGGAGGGGTGGGGATGGGCGGGGGTGCGGTGGGGTGCGGTGCGGTGCGGTGGAGTGCGGTGGGGTGGGGTGCGGTGGAGTGGGGTGGGGTGGAGTGGGGTGGGGTGGGGATGGGCGTGGGTGTCGAGTCAGCAGGTGGTGATGAAGCTGTTTATGCCCGCTTTGCTCAAATGGGTGCTCAGCTCACAGACATGGATAGCTCAGTTCAACTCCCTTACTCCTCTCCTCAAGCGTTTCTTTTTCTCCTCATCATCCCCCTCCCTACCCATCATCCCTCTGCCTCCTCTCTCCAACACTGTTCCCCTCTCACTCCTGTCTCTCACCGTCGCCACCCCTCCCTCTCCATCCCTCCCTCTCCATCCCTCCCTCTCCACCCCTCCCTCTCCACCCCTCCCTCTCCACCCCTCCCTCTCCACCCCTCCCTCTCCACCCCTCCCTCTCCACCCCTCCCTCTCCACCCCTCCCTCTCCACCCCTCCCTCTCCACCCCTCCCTCTCCATCCCTCCCTCTCCACCCTCCCTCTCCACCCCTCCCTCTCCACCCCTCCCTCTCCACCCCTCCCTCTCCACCCCTCCCTCTCCACCCCTCCCTCTCCACCCCTCCCTCTCCACCCCTCCCTCTCCACCCCTCCCTCTCCACCCCTCCCTCTCCACCCTCCTCTCCACCCCTCCCTCTCACCCCTCCCTCTCCACCCCTCCCTCTCCACCCCTCCCTCTCCACCCCTCCCTCTCCACCCCTCCCTCTCCACCCGTCCCTCTCCACCGCAGGTTTTCATTGGAGGGCCGCGCACCCTACTGCCGAATCACAGACCGGGTGAGTAATGGGAACGAGTGGGAACTAGTTGGTGGGGGGGGGGGGGGGGGGGGGGATTGTAAGGGGAGGCACATGGACACGGTGGAGGAGCTCTTTTCGTTTTTGTAGTCAGTGAGACAGTTGACTCATTTCACTTCACTCCCCTCTCCTCATAACCCCTCCTTCCCCCCTCCCTCACTACCAGGCGAGTTGGAAACTGGCCAAGTGGATGGTTGATGACAACGAATTATAGATGAGGTGAAGGAGCCTTAATCATTCTCCCCCCCATCCCCCACCCCTCTTCTTCACGCTTGCTCCTCGTGTTTCCCTCGTCATATCAACCCCCCTCACCACCAGGCGGATTCGAATCTGGCCAAGTGGATGGCGGATGATGATGCATTGGAGCGAGCAACCGATGCCGAGTGGTTCTTACTGCCTGCCGCTGACCGCATGCCCCTCACCGGCACCCACACCGACTCTGGCCGCCCCATCCTGCCTCTCGCTATTGCTACCACTCCTGAAGGCGCCCCTCCTACCACCATCACCTCTGCTATCACCGTCGTTGGGTGAGACTCCCCTTGTTGTGTCTCCTTGCCCTGTTCCTTTCTTCTTGTATCCCATTCTCTGGTTGCCGGTCGTCTCATCCTGCGGCTGACCGCATGCCCCTCACCGGCACCCTCACTGACTCTGGCCGCCCTGTCCTGCCTCTCGCCATTGCCACGGCCCCTGAAGGCGCCCCCCCTACCACCATCACCTCTGCCATCCGCTTCTTGTAGAAATATATCTGTCACCATCGTTCAGTGATGTTCCAGTGGCTTCATGAGAATTTTCAGAAGTGTTGGTGTTTTTCCCTAACTCCTTTCCCCCCCCCCCCCCCCTTTTTCTCCCTTCTCCCCCCATCCCACACCTCTCCTTCCTCTCTCAGCAACTCTGCAGAGTGTGCACCCACCAGCAGCACAGCATCAGTCACCTCTGGTTTCTCTTCCCTCCTCCCGCCCTCTCCACCGCTTCCCTCCCTCGCGCTCCTTCTCTGAAGCTCTGCGGACTGTGCACCTGCCAGCGGCACAGCAGCACTCAACTATCCTTTTGCTGCCCCCCTCCTCCCCCTCCACACCTCCCCCTCCTTCCCCTTGTTTCTCTGCAGCTCTGCGGAGTGTGCACCTGCCAGTGGCACAGCAGCAGTCATTTCACTGCCTGGGGTATGTACCCTTGTCACACACTCGAACTCATGCTCAACACGCACACGCACACACACACACACACACACAAGCACACTCACGCTCACACACACACACTCACGCACACACTCACACACACACATGCGCACACACACACGCACACACTGACGTTCTTTCTGCCCGTGCCGTCTCTTGCTACGACTCAAGCACACTGGCACGGACACCAGCCCCGTCTGCACCTGTTTTGTGCTGTTCTGTTTCAAAAGTGGATGCGCAAGCACTAGCATTGTGTGTTATTGTAAGACGTCTCGAAACAATTATTTTATCTCATAGCCCACTGGCACTAACACCAGCCCTGCTTGCACCTGTTTTGTGCTGTTATGTTTTAAAAGTGGATGCGCAAGCACTAGCACTGGCATTGCGTGTTACACTTTATCGAGGTTACATTCTCACGTTTTCTTTACCTTCCGTTTATGCATTTGACATTTCATTGCATGGACATTTCATTGCATGGACATTTCATGGCTCGGTCAAATGGCATGACATGGCATGACATGGCATGGCATGGCACGACATGGCATGGCATGGCATGGCATGGCACGACATGGCATGTCCTGGCAACGGCAGGTGGAGGAGAAGCATTGCCGCATTGAGAGTCGCAGCGACCACACCTTCTATGTGACGGACCTCAGCCAGACCCAGGGAACCTGGCTTGTCAGGTGGGTTGCTTTCAGGGGCACCTGGCTTGTCAGGTGGGCTGTCAGGGGCACCTGAACTGTATAAGGTTGAAGCTTGTTTTTCAAACTTAAAGCTTGTAGGTAGGCCTTAATTGTAAGGCCTCGGCAACATGCATGACTTTCTTCTCAGCGCTTTCCTACTCCTTACCAGCTACCAATGCTGATCACCAAAGCTAATCACTCCTATCGCACTCTCTCTTCCCCCTTCTCGCTGCAGAGTGGATGGAGCGCGGTCAAAGCTCACTCCAGGGTCCCCTGAACGCCTGCACCCTGGTGACTCCCTCCAGTTTGGACCCAACACCGAGGTCAGTTCTCTGTCACTGTTAAACCCACCTTCTCTCCTTCACTTTTGAACCCACCTTTTCTTTATTTAGCTCACATACCGTATAGTTCAGGCTATAAGACCCGGGGGACCCTCTACAAATGCTTAAAAATATGCTTGGCAGAAATTTTTTAAGACCCAGGGTACACTTATTTATCAGTTATCAATCTGATATTTAGGGTGTACGACTCAATTTGGGGCGGGGGGGTCTTATATTCGAAACGAATTCGTGAAAATTTCGCGTGTGCGGCACGTTAGATCTGTGTCACAATTCGAGTCTTACAAAAATAAAGTGTCAGAAAGCGTGTCAGAATTCGATTTTATGCCAGTAAAAGCTGATGCACAATAGCAATAATAACTACTGTTTACAGAAAAGGGGGGTTTTATGATGATATGGGACGAAAAGGGGGTCCCCACAAAACCTGCCACAATAAGTTCTGGGGGAGATCCGGGGGACCTTCTTACCGGCGGGTCCTACAGCCGGAACTATACGGTATGCCACCTTTCCTGTGTAGCTTCCTCTGACCTTGGTGCATGCGCCTTGTGCATGTGTGATGTGCCCCGTTGTAAGCAGGCTCTCTTCCGTATCAAGTTGAGGAAGGCACAGGATGGTGGAAAGGCCAAGGACGTGTTGGCAGCTGCGACTGCTTGAATGGAAACCCAAGCTCGAAATAATAGATGGAATTGTGAACCAGATTCCATCTGCTATGTTGATTGGTAGTTCTTTTGTACAGTGCTGCACTCCATGTGAGCATCAGTACATCACTGCTGTTGATGCATCTGTATTGATCCTTCTGCTTATTTGATGGAGTGGTGGTTATGTTATTCATTTTCTGAGTGTCTCAACCTCTCTGATGCCTTAAACCTACCGTAACTAGCATAACTAATAGTAAGAATGCTACCGTTCCTGCATATGGGTAGAATTTTAGAGCGAATGTACTCCTATTCTAAGCTGGTACCAGCCAAACCAATAGACATGGTAAATGCAGGGTTCATTCAAACAGCAGCAAGCAAGGGTTGTCATCTCATCACCATTGATATCCATATGCACCCTCATCTCCGTGACTCCATCAGATAGATGACACCACCTGACGTTGAACTTTTATGCGGGAATTTGGGCGTGTGCCTACGCCTCATATCAGGCAAACTACATACCATATCAGAGTCTTACTGAGTACCCCCTGAACCCATCACATTTTATCAGGTAAATCTGATATAGGGTTGCCTGATATGAAGCGTATGAACACGCCCTCGAAGTGATGGTCTGGTTGTACATTACGTACCAGAGGTTATTGAACACAGCTAACAAACCATTAGTTATCAAAACTGGTGCCCCTTTAATTTACAGTTTCACATCAACAAAAAGGAGAGTATCTCTAAGACCTATGGACGGACGGAGGACTCATCGCCGGCCGCTGGCTTCCTCAGCAGCCAGGTCGAACATCCGCTCCAAGGCATTCATGTTCTCCAACGTCTCACTCACTGTCCTTGCATCACTACCATCGCTCCTGAGGTGGGTCATGGGTCCATGGAGAATCTTGTTCACAATACCCTTGCTCAGCTCCTCAATCAGCTTCTTCTGCTTCTTGGTCGGCTCCTCGCCCATCTTCGCCAGGATTCTATCCAGCTCAGCCTGTCGGATACCCTCGATCTTCTGACGGAGCTTCTTAATGGTAGGAACCGTCTCCAAGGAATCCCTCCACGCGTCGAAGGCCTGAAGCTCCTCCTCAATGATAGTCTGAGCCTCCAGTGCCTTCTTTCTCCGCTCCTCCTTGTTGGCAGCAACCACCTCCTTCAGGTCATCCACGTTGTACACCCTGGTCTGCTGAACATTGGCCACGCAGGAGCCAACATTGCGTGGGACGGAGATATCGATGAAGTGCCTGACGCCGTTGGTGAGATCGCCAGCAGGACCAAGACCCTGAACGTTGGACTCCTCGAAGAGAAGAGTCTCCGAAGCTGTGCTGGTAAAGACAACTTCAGCCTCAGCCGCTGCTTGCATCATCTCAGGAAGAGGCCTGTAGAGAAGCGTGGCGTCGGGAAATTCGGACTGCAGCGTCTCTACACTGCCTAGGGACCTGTTCACAACGGTCATGGTGTTGCAACCCTTAGAGAGCAGATGCTTCACAAGGAGACGGGACATCTTCCCAGCGCCGACGATCATGACGCGAGCTTCCTTCAGGCCAGCTTCGGGAAGCTTCATCGCGGCGAGCTCAACGGCAGCAGAGCTGACGGACACGGCACCAGAGGCGATGCTGGTTTCGGTACGCACACGCTTGCCGGCCTCGATCGCCTGCTTGAAGAGACCGTTGAGATTGCGTCCAAAGCCCTCGGCTAACTGGCCAACCTTGAAGACCTGCTTAACCTGAGCGAGGATCTGACCCTCTCCGAGCACCAGAGAGTCGAGGCCGGAAGAGACGCGGAGAAGGTGCTGCGTAGCGTCCCTTTGACGGAGAAGGAAGAGATGCGGGCGGAGCTCCTCGACGGGAACACCGCTCGACTGTAGGTAGGTACAAAGGGAGAATACGAAAGGAAAGGACTCAGTGGATGGAACAGTATTTGACCACCTATTATATGCATGGTGATCAGGTTGCACGGTTTGATTTCCGAAGCAGAATCGGCTTACCTTTGACATCCACTCAGTGACCTCGCGAATGCCCCTGTGCCAGGAGAGCGCCACGACGTAGATTTCCATGCGATTGCATGTGCTCAGAACACCGGCTTCCTCAATGTGGGGGTACTCGCAGAGTTCCGTGATGGCGCGTGGCCACTCGGCTTCAGGAACGGCCAGCTTCTCACGCATCGAAACGGGAGCGGTGTGAACGCTCAGACCGACGACAATGATGCTGCTCTTCTCGCTTGTGTATCCTGAAGCGCAACAGGGGTAGAATTAAGCAATGTGTGATTAATCTCCCGTAGCGGTCATGGTTTCATTTCAGAAAACAAATGCTAATTTTGAGTGAACGTAGAACTTTCAGCACGTACTGTTTGTATTGGAGACCCTCAATTGCTCGAGAGCGGCAGTGCTGCTAGCTCGGAGCTTGTGGCTCCTGGGAGGGCCAGACGACAGGGAAGCTGAGACGGGAGCGATTGTCCTGGCGACAGGAACGGCCTGACGACGAGCGACATTGAGCTTCTCCCCAAGCAACGAGCTTTCCTTGAGGTGAACCTGCTCCTTGGCCTTGAAGGCCTCCACACCTTCCGCGCGGGGAAGGGTGGAAATCCCACGAGCAGCAACATAGCTGACGGAAGCCATGTCGGGCTTGTCGGGACAAACCAGTCAGAAAGAAGGACAGACGACTGGGAAGGATCGAAAAATCGATCACCTCGTGCAAGCTAACCTCCAACGGTTGGCTTTCCTCGGGCAAGGACCGACACGAGGAGAGCTCGTCGAGGAGTTAAGGCTGCCGTGAGATAAAAGATCCAGGAGTGTGTCAAATAGATGTCATACAGGTGACAGGGCAGAGCTTCCCTGGCAAAACGAACCTTGGTGTAAGCAGGAGCAGCAGCCTACCCAGTTGCACAGGGAGCAGCGTTGAGAGGGGGGGATCCTCCTGGCTAGGGCTGCCTGGCTCGGCTCGCTCCTCCAGGCAAGGGGGCATCGTGTTCGCCGGATTCTGCTGCCAATAACTGTGGGTTCATGGAAGTGCGAATCTGATTTCTCATTCGCTATCGGGATCACGAAAGCGAGCCACGTTGGACACTGTGACTCCGAAGGCGACCACGTCATTGGACCGCTGTTGGTAAGGTTGATGAGCTCTGGGTGACACCACGACCCCCAGCACTTTCGGGATGCTTGCCTCAGGCTCGGAAAATCAAAATTACCAGGCCTAGCCTTGAAACGCAGTGACAGCAGCAAAATCACTGTGGGAAAGATTCGCCATCCATTTCGCACAGATTCTGGAACTTCTACATGTTACAACGGCTACTTTTGCTAACAATCCTGTTGACCTTGCACAAAAGTAAATGTAGGTTTTCACCCAAGTACACAACGGTAACAACTCCAAATCTGCAGTGGGGAAAGTGGTTCATAAAACAAGTGGACCTTGCAGTCTGCTCGAATGGAGTATGAAACAACCTTTACAAATTTACACCTAATGAACACAACCACTTGCAAATTCTACACAATGCAAGTAATTTCCAAACGGTCCATGCACTTCTGAAACTCAACCAAGCGTTGCTGTGCATATGACATATAGTCAAACCCTGCGTCTGACACTGCAGCCTGTACACATAAATCCAAAGACAGCAGGAAAGGTGAAACATAAAGGCGGACTTATGCGTAAAACCACCCAAGGAAGTGCTACCTAACATCTTGATTCACGAGGTGTCGTCTCGCCAAGAAACAGACGCAATAACTTACTGAAATAATGCCCCACAGGAACCAATGCAGATGGCACACGGGAAGAAAAACGTCCACTGCTTGCATCAACTCCTCAGCATCACTCTCAGCAAGGCTGCTTGTAAGGGGGACAACCCTTTGACTGGTGCTCCTTTCACTGGAGCTCGCACACGCATCGACAGGAGAGGTAGGCTTGGCAGCGAGGTAGCAGTTGATAAACCACCGCTGCTCGTCCTCAGCTGAAAACAAACGGAGCGGGGGAACAGAGTAGCAGGAGATAAGGGAGGACGGAGGGGACAGAAGGGGGTGGGCACAAAGGGGATGAGCAGGCAGCGAGAGTGGTTGTAGAGCCAAGAGACCAAGCTGAATATCCCACAGAGGGACTCACAGGGATACTTGGTGTAATCCAGGAGGTGTGGGTGGGGGCGGTCGTAGTGGGGTAGTTGAGTGACGAAGCAGACCAGGGCACAGAGACACTCACAGGGATACTTGGTGTAATCCAGGAGGTGTGGTTGAGGTTGGTCATAATCAGCTGCCATTTCACAGAAGTGGTTGGCAAGGTCACACGCCACGTGTGCATAGCCACTGTACTCGTAGTCCTGAGAGGGAGTGGGAGATGGGGGAGGGGTGGGGTGGAGGGACGGAATGGAACAGGCGGGAGCAAGGGAGGATGCAGAAGTGGTTGGCAAGGTCACACGCCACGTGTGCATAGCCATTGAACTCGTAGTCTTTTATCAGGGTGGGAGAGGAGATCGGGGGGGAGAGAGAGAGCGGGAAAGATGGGGTGGGGGGAGGGGAAGTGAGCAATTTTTACAATGCCTCAAGAGGGCATTTGCAGGGAATGGCTTGCGTGCTTGCCTGCCACATCACTCACGCCCCTGCCACTTGCCTACAGACCAGGCACCAGCCAAACAGGTCGTTTTCTAGAATTCTCACAAGCAACCTGCAAAGAAAATGCTTGGGTGCTTGGGTGCTGCATCAGTCACGTCCGTGCCACCAAGGGATTGATTTGCCCACCCACCAAGGGATTGATTTGCCCACCCACCAAGCACCAGCCTTGCAGCAGAGGGAAACCATTATGCGACAGCAGAGCTGCTTACAATGAGTACAATCCTCCCCGTGCCTCTCTCCTGCAGAATGTTCCCATGTTGCACATCCATGTGACACAGCCCCACCCACCGCCCACTCCCTTCCCCCTCCCTCCCCTTTTCCGCCTCCGCCTCCCTTTCCCCTTCCGCCCCCTCATCTTCCCCCCCCTCCCGCTTTCCCTGCCCCTCCTCCCGCCACCGCCTGTGCGCTGCCGCCTCCAGCCTGTGAATTGTTTCCCCCAGCTGCCTCGGGTTCGCCCCATGCACGCCCCAGGGGTGCAGCAGCTGCGCCAGGGACAGCCAGCGCCTGCATAACAGGGAGGGTGAGACGGGGAGAAAAAAGGAAAAGGAAACCTGAAGTGGCTGTGCTGTTTCCAGCCTGTGGATCTTCTCCCCCAGCTGCCTCGGGTTCGCCCCGTGCACGCCCCAGGGGTGCAGCAGCTGTGCCAGGGACAGCCAGCGCATGGGGGACAGGAAGGCGAAGTGGAAAGCTGGAAAAAGCATGCTGCTTTTCAGCAGATGGAATCTCTCCCGCAGATGACGCGGGATGGCCCCGTGCACGCCCCAGGGATGCAGCAGCTGCGCCAGGGACAGCCAGGGACAGGCAAGTGGCGACCTTCTCAGGTGCAGTGCTTGGGGGGCGATTATTGAGAAAGCCCCCAAAATGACCTGGCAAGTTTGGGACCTCGAAAGCCGATGCAAGTGAATGACCTACCGAAAGCACAAGTGGGTGCACCGGCACAAGTGGGTGCACCGGCACAAGTGGGTGCACTGGCACAAGTGGGTGCACCGGCACAAGTGGGTGCACTGGCACAAGTGAGTGATGACCTACCGAAGACGGGACCACAGGCACGAGGCGACCTCCCCAAGTGTGGTGTATGGGAGCTGCAGCGAGTGGAAGCGCCTCATGCACCGTGCGATCTGCTGGGACGTCTCGGGTTGCCTCATCTCCTCTGCTGTCAGCGGCTGTGTGTTAGGAGGGGTGGGAGGGGCGAGGCGGGTGGGAGGACACGTTGACCATGGTTCGTTTCTCCAAGGCCTCTAGCACACTTGACCTATGGACAAGACGGCCTCCCCCCAGCTGAGCTGCAGCGAGGGGAAGCGCCTCATACGCCGTGCAATCTGCCGAGATGTCTCCGGCTGCCGCATCTCCTCTGCTGTCAGCGGCTGGGCGTTGGGGAAGAATGAGCAGTGAATAGATCTTGCATGCTTAGGTACTTGGAGTAAACCACGCACAGCAAAAGCACTCAAAAACTGTACATGTTATCCATAGGCTTTCTACAAGCTATACAGCCTATCTCAATATCAATATTAAATCTCAGTATTAATGAAGGCTGCCAAATGCAATCTCAAGGGTATTGAAGACTACGTAAGGCAATCTTCAAGGGCAATATAGGCTATTCAGAGGCAACTTCAATGGTATTAAAGGCAATCTCAAGGTTAGTAAGGTTACACCTCACCCACCTTCGCTTGCAGAAACTCCTCCACCCTGCCGGTGCCGAACGACGCTAGCAGCTTCGGTCCCAAGCCAAGTTCGGACATGGCTCGGGTGACTGCCTCCTCGTGCTCCCTTTGGAACAGCATTGTTGTTGCCGGGCCGTACAGCCGCACCAACACCCGCTTCTCTCCAAAATAGCCCTTCTCCTCCTTTAAATCCTCACCCTCGCCCCCCCTTGGCTCGTTCTTCCTGGTTGGCACCCACATACACTCGTATACCTGGCGGCATTCAGACAACCGGGCACAGCAGAAGGAGAGAAGAGAAAATGAAGCAATGAACAGGCAGGTAAGTAGTGCAATGTTGGAAGCAACGTCCAGTGGCTACAGTATTTGCTGCCTACCAGATACAGGGACATGCAGAACGAAACGAATAACACTGAAAGAAAAATAAAAAATATATCAGCATGCCCCATGATCAGGCATCTAGGTATCATCCAGTCGTCCTCCTCTGCTCAACCTGTTCTTAATTGCTTGAATGCACTCATGCACTCACCGTGTTGGTCATTGCTGCACTCATGGGCTTCAGAACCACATCACCTCCTTCCAACGCCTCGTCTTCCTCCCCCTCCTCGCCAACTCCACCTCCCTCCCCTTCTTTCCTTCCCCCTGCCTCCTTGTTCCGCCATATCCTCCTTACAGCTCGTAAAGCCGGGCGTAGAGACGAGATCGTAGCAGTCGCCTGTGATCTGACGGCTGAGATCGAACCCTGAAGAGACTCTTGGCCCTGTTGCAATCCAGGCCGTTCAGTGGGCTCCGTGCTCACTCGCGCATCCATTTGCAGCTGCTCTGGCGAATCACCAGCGGTAAAAGCAGGGCCAGCACTATTACCAGGATCAGCAGGACCAGCAAGCCCATTTGCAAGCTCGCTCTTCTCGCGGATCTCGCTTCCAAGAGCGTCATGATGCATGCTCCCACGAGACCTTCCAACTGATATATTGACTAAATCATTATCACCCGTTTCTTGAATCTGATAATCTTGCCTTTCTCCACCCGATGTGCTTTTCTCAAACGTGCTCGTGACCGCAGGTGAGCGGCCAAGCACATCGTCGTCATTCCCAAGGTTCACCACCGTAACTTGCGACGTTTTCCTGGAAACCAGCACCATCTGCTCTCGCTCACTTTCGCACTCGAGCAAAAACTGTTCGTCAACGTCGCTTTCCTGGTCCTTCTGGTGCTGAAGTCGCAACGCAGACTGTTCGTCGGCTGTTTCCGCGGACAGCGTGATCGTGGGAATCTCGAAGGCTGCTTCGACAGAGTCAGCTCGGTCGAGGCCTCGCGAGCAGCGGAGAGTCGTGAGAACGCCACGGGGAGAAAGAAACTCGGTATAGGATGACGCGCTACACGCTAGAAAATCCTCCATGGTTATGGACAGACGTCATTCTCCACTGGAAGAACGGCATGACACTTCTAAGTACGTGAAGACTGAATACGAACGCCTAACTTGAAAAAGACTTACGGACGGACGCCAAAGGACGCGCTACTATCGACATGGAACAACGAGCCTCTTCAAGAACGTCGCGAAAAGAGAGTTGTAAAACCTGGAGAGCACGCAACCTTCAACGCTGTGCGAAAACTGGACGACTCTTCCAGGACATACGACCCTGAGAGAATTCGCCTGCGTTGTTGCAACGAGCCGAAAGCTCTCCCAATCGTCCCAGAATTGCATGAGCGGCCTTTCAGCAATGAGTGTGAGGGAGACAGCCGCCGCAGCAGCGGCTGCATGCACGGCAGCGCGTGCTTGCAGCTGGGCCGTGCGTGCATGGCGGAGTGGGTGACGAGTTGTGCCGCCATGATATGCGGGATGAACAGGGAGGAGGATGTGTGTTGGATGCCTGCATTTGGTGTGTCACCGATGCTTTCGCTACGATCACAGGCTCGTATTAGTCACCTGACAAGCAAGGTTGGTCCACGTGGTCGGGACTCACAGGCAGATGCATACAATGACTACAGTATCCAGTCGTTCCGTACGGCTTCGTCTTTCACAAAAACGTACTTGCTTGTTGACACTACCCACTCGTTCACTGTCCACGCGTCCCTGCCTACGGTTTCTTTTGACCCAGGTTCAGTGTAGCTTGCGAGGTTGAATAGCCGAAGCTGACTCATCGTGTCATGTGACTGACAAACCTACCCCTTCACGCCTGCACACAACCAGCTCTCATTGGTCATAAAAATTGACTCACCAGTGGCATCTCCGTGTACACGACATTGTACCCGTCCGAAACAACCCACGAAGAGCCAACCAGTCTGGTTTCGGCACGGGTAATTGAGCATCGACGAAAGTGGTTACCAGATTGGGTCACACACTCGAGCTGAGACCTCCACTTCCACGCCCTTTCGCCAATCTGCAGAGCCACGAAAAGCTCCTTGCCTTGCCTTGCATCCCAAGGGGCGACATGATTTGCGGTTCCTCGTCACTCCGCTCCTTCAACGGCTATTTCCTTACCTCCCATCAGGGCACAGACTTTGAGGATCAGGTACATGAGGTGCAAAATCACGAGCTGATTCGAATGAATGCGTCCAGATTCACATCATTGGCCTCTCTTCCTTAGCCATGCTGTGACTACCACAACCGCAGCACCAGCAAGTAATCCTTCGCAGCCGCCGCCACTCGAGCATCGCTCATGCAATTTACAACAAAGCATTAGTAGTTTCGTAATGCTGCACAACGTCAGCTGCTTGTGTATCGCTGCGCATTAAGCAGCTACGTGTACTTCCAGGCTCTCGCTCGAACGGCTTGCAATTCCTTCTTCCATGCAACTTCTCCCCTGCGGATAACTCGATTACCCGATAGTGTTGTATGCTGTGGAACATCCTGTTTGCCGTGGAATTGTGATCGATTAGGTAGCACAGATTGATTCCATCTAGAAGTTCTCTGCCACCAATCGGCCATGTTGCCATCTTCGTTGCCCCTGTCAAACTGCTGGAATCGCCAGCCGTTGCATCAGTATCGCCATGCCGTCGCATGTCTTTCGCGATTGCTCCTCCCGCACGTCGCTCGCAGCGTGCGACGCGGCGAGCTGCATGACGTCAGCGAATCCTTAGAGCAATGGCTCTTTCGGTCGCGAAGCCTCCCTGCTGCGGTCGATCGCGCGTCGTACTCCGTGGACCTCGACGAAACCCATGTTCGAGAGCAGGGATTTGACGCAGCTGTTACAGTTGACACATTAAATGCTTTCTCGCGACACCCTAACAACTCCCGGGTGCTGCAGACACCTCTCTCACTCCCCTCTACCCACGACCTGTTTCTCTCCCGCTCCCTCCTCGCCTCCAAATGTCAGCCTGACGATTCCTTATTTCCCGATTTCACTCATTTGACGTTTGGAGATTCACGACGGTTGGAATTTTCCCATCCGTCGCAGTGTCCCCGTCGATCGCACCGTCTCTCCCACCGTCCGTCTCTCGAAGCGCGGTTCCATCACTCTCTCTCGACCTCGCGGCTCCGCGACTCCTCGATGCACGACGAGCCGCCCCACCAGCCGCAGCAGCCGCGTCAGCAACGGTACGCCGCGAGCCTCGCGGCTGCAACGGCGGCGCGGGAGGAAGAGGAGGACGGGACGGAAGCGGAGGAGGTGGAGAAGGAGGAAGAGCGAGGAGAGGAGGAAGGTCGTCGAGAGAAACGCAAGCAACGGGCAAAAGGAGGGGAGGAAGAGGAGAAGATGACGTTAACGCAAGGGGAAAACTTGGTCAGATTTGATCCTTCTACTGCCCTTATCAGACCATCCACCAGAGAAGATTCGGCGCCAAGGTCAGCCATGGCTGACGGTGCTGTGGCAGGGAAAGAAGCGGTGACTGACGAGGTGACTGACGTGTTGACGGACTCGTTCGGGCGGCAGCACAGCTACCTGCGCATCTCGCTGACGGAAAGGTGCAACCTGCGGTGCTCCTACTGCATGCCCGCTGAAGGCGTGCAGCTCACGGTGAAAGAGTGAGTGGTGTAACCGTGAGGCATGGCCCTGGGAACACGTAGCAGCACCAGGTGAGAATCTGTGCCTTTCAGTCATTGTGGTATGAGGTGTTTTGACTGTATGCGTGCTGAAGAAAGGGAGTGGAGTGAGTGGTGTAGTGTCGAGCTGACGCCAGACTCCTTGGCAGCACAGCTACCTGCGGATCTTGCTGACTGAGAGGTGCAATCTGCAGTGCTCCTACTGCATGCCGGCTGAAGGCGTGCAGCTCACGCCAAAAGAGTGAGTGGTGGTGGTGAGATGTGGCACGTAAGGTTGCCCTGGCACTAGGCGTAGAATCACTTGGGTTGCCTCTGGGAATCTGGGTGTGTGAGCACAAGTGCAAGTGCATGTGAGAGGTGCAACCTGCGGTGCTCCTACTGCATGCCGGCCGAATGGGTGCAGCTCACGCCAAAAGAGTGAGTGGCGTGACCGTGAGACATGGTTGTACTTGCAGCACATGGGTTGCTTGCCATGAGGCATGGCCATAGGAGCACATAGGTAGCGTGCCATGCTTGCTCCACACAACTCCTCTTCGCCAATCTCTTGTCCCCACCCCTCAACCCCTTACTGCCCCTTGCCGCTACTGCATACAGGCACCTGCTTTCAACGGACGAGGTCATTCGCCTGGCGTCGGTGTTTGTGTCGCAAGGCGTGAGTAAGATCAGGCTCACAGGCGGCGAACCCACAGTCCGACGAGACATCGTTGACATCTGCAGCTCTCTCTCCGCCCTGCCAGGTATGTGTGCGCTCATCTCAGCCAGGTGTGTGTGCTCTCTCTGCTCTGCAAGGAGTGACCGAAATCAGGCTGACAGGCGGCGAACTCACAGTCCGACGAGACGAGACATCGTTGACATCTGCCAGTCGCTCTCCGCTCTGCCAGGTGTGGATGCTCTCTCTTCTCTCCCAGATGTGAATGCTCGCTCTGCTCTCCAAGGAGCGACTAAGATCAGGCTGGCAGGCGGCGAGCCCACAGTCAGGCGAGCCATCATTGACAACTGCACCTCGCTTTCCGTCCTGCCAGGTATGAATGAATCGACTAGAGAGCTGCCCTGCACATTCATTCATACCTGGCAGTGCTCTGCCCTGCCATGCCAAGGATCGACTTGTGCGCCACTGTGGGCAGCTCTAGCTCGCTCTCCGCTCTGCTGCCAGGTATTGACTCTCAGGCAGCTATGCACTCACAAACGATGAGCCCATGAACGCACACATGATCGGATACGACGAGTTATCGTGTAACCGCTGCTGCCCCTCTGTGTCCACACAGGGCTGAGCACCCTAGCGCTCACATTGAATGGCATTCTGCTGCCGGCCAAGCTGCCAGCCCTGAGGGAGGCGGGGCTTGTTAGAAATAGTCAGTCAACACTTTGTACTATATTCTATATCGGTTAGGTTACTTTGTAGGTTGGGTGTAGATTTGTAATCCCAACCCTATCTGGTTGGGATTCCCTCGTAATCCTGCAAATCTGCCAACTCACCAATTGGAGATTTGCTAGGATTCCCATCCCATCCTTTCCCTAGCTTTGCTCAACCCAACCCTGTTTGTACTTAAGGCCTAGTGCCTTCCTTATCAAGCAATCAGTTCAGTTCCAATTCTATCATGGTATCGAGCTAGTAAATTCCGCTCACACGGAATCCGATCCTTGGCGTCCCGATGGTTCTCTCCTTTTAGGCTATGCCTATTTCGGTTCCCGGCTCCTACGCTTAGCGTTTTTCAGAAACTTCACATCGTCGCTCCGGTCAAGCGCGCATTCGGCTTCCTTCATCGCGCATCTCGTTTTTCAACGGCGACATTCTCAGCTTTCGACTTCCTTCATCGTAAGCTTCTGGTTTTTATATCTCCGTGGCAATTTTCGCATCTTCTTAACTTCGAACAGGTTTTCAGCGGCGCAGCGGAACAGGTCCAGCGGCGCAGCGGAACAGGTTTTCAGCGGCGCAGCGGAACAGGTCCAGCGGCGCAGCAGAACAGGTTTTCAGCGGCGCAGCGGAACAGGTTCAGCGGCGCAGCGGAACAGGTTCAGCGGCGCAGCGGAACAGGTTCAGCGGCGCAGCAGAATAGGTCCAGCGGCACAGCAGAACAGGTCAGCGGCGCAGCAGAACAGGTCAGCGGCGCAGCAGAGAAGCGGAACAGGGGCAGCAGCGAAGCAGAACAGGGGGCATTGGCGAAGCAGTATATCAGGGTATAGTACGGGCATTCTATTGCCAAAATCGCGTTTCGAACTTCCTCAATTTCCAAAATCACCCGAACTCCGCTCCGCTACGTATCGGAGACTTTAGCGCTGCGCTCCGCGCGAAATGGCAACTTCAACTTCCACTCTCGTCGGAAACCTCATCATCCTTAACCTCGCTCCCAACGGCACGAGTACCAATTTCGGGGAGTGGTGCTATGGAGTGGAGAAGCACCTTCTTAGCTCGGAGCTCAAGGGAATTTGCCTCAAGGACATCCTCCTCAATCGCGGCAAGGGGACGATGCCTCTCCCTCCCGATCCTCTCGGCGAAGGCGCCACTGCCACAGCCAAGCTTGCTTTCGACGCTAAAACCACCAAGTATGAGACGGACTTCAGTCTCTGGGAGCAGGCGGATGCGGCAGTGATTAGGGTTTTCATCACCACCACCCCAGTCGAGTTAGTCAAGTCCTACCGCACCTTCCGCTCTGCGCATGACATTTGGAAGTACCTCCAGGATCGCTTTCAGGACAAAACTGCCGTGGGGGTTGCAATCCTCATTCCTCGCATGTTCCAAATCCGCCTTGAGGAATGCCCGGGCATGGCAGACTACATCTCTGAAATCCGCAACATCCATGAGGAGCTCAAGGACATTGGGATCACCTTCCCCGAACAGGCACTTGCTGCTGGGCTTCTCGTCGGACTCACCCCGGCCTACAACGTCACCAGTTCCATGCTCAAGCAGCTCCCCACCAAGGAACTCACCTTCGAGAAAGTCGCTTCGGCCCTTCTCTCTGCCGAAAAGGACCTTGCATGCTGTGCGCTACTCCCCTGGCATCCCATTTCGTTCCCAGCAGGGCCAGAGGCGCAACTCCTTTCCCCCATGCCAGTACCTCATTAGGAAGGGTCCACGTGCGGGGTAGAAATGCAACGGCACCAACCACCCTGAGGCAACTTGCTTCAAGAAGCGAGATGACGAGTGGTATGACGTCCACGGTGTCTCCAAGGACAAGCGTCCTCCCAACTGGGCACCACCCCGTCGCGTGAACCAGGTCGAGGTAGTGGAGGAACCTGCTCAGGCATTTGCTAGTGCCCCATTTGATGTTCGCCTTAACCTGTTGTTCTCTGGTGCTGGTCTTCTTAATGAGAAGGGGTCGCAGTACATCGGTGTTTCAACCACACAGGGAATTGAGTTCATACTAGACAGTGGTGCCACCCACACAGTGCTTAAAGACCAAACTGCCTTCGTTCCCTACCAGGCTCCCACCTCACTCCTTGGAGCCGATTCTAGCTTCTCCATCCAATGCCATGGGTCCTCCACAGTTTCCTGTCCAGCTTTCCCATCCGGCACAGTCACTGGCATCTGTGCCCCTACCCTCCGCTACAACCTTCTTGCACAGCGGGAAATCCAACACGCAGGCGTGATCACCATCTTTCCCAATGATGTTGACTACTGTGACATGTTTGACGCCAAAACCGGACTCCATCTTGCCCGCTTCACCCTCAACTCCAACAACCTGTACACACTAGTTGTACCTCCCGTTCAAACATGCTCCCTCACCAACCTTCCGTTTCCATCCTCAGACTCCCCCTCATGTCACTGCCGCCTCCTCAATGACAAGACTATGCTATTTCATAACCGCCTCGGCCACATCAACTTCCGCGCACTTTCAGACCTTGCCACCAAACAACTCCTTCATGGACTGCCCGCCTCACTTCCACAACCCCCCTCTCTTTCTGGACCACCTTGCCTTGACTGTGCACAGAGCAAGCTTCGGGAACAGCCCCATCCTCCCACTGAGTCCACCTCTACCGCACCTCTTGATCGCGTACACATGGACCTTTGGGGTCCAGCTCCTGTTCGTTCCCGTGGCGGACACTTCTACTTCCTTGTCATCGTTGATGACTATTCCCGCTATGTGTCCGTTCACCTTCTCACCGCCAAGTCTGAAGCCCCAGCCATTATCATGGAATGGGCAAGGCAGGCTCATTCACACTTCAAAACCAAAATCAAGATTCTTCACTCTGACGGTGGCGGTGAATTCCGCAACAACACTCTCAAAGCTTTCTGCTCTACTGAGGGTATTCGTCAGACCTTCACCCTTCCAGACAGCCCTCAACAGAACGGTGTTGCTGAGAGCCGAAACCGCATCCTGGTGCAGATTGCTCGCTGCCTCCTCACACATGCTTCCGCCCCTCCCTCTCTTTGGGGATACGCCATGCTCCATGCTGCCGCCCTCCACAATCTCCATCCTCATCCTCACCACACCCACACCACCCCCGCAGAGCTGTGGACGGGTCAAAAGCCGTCCGTCCGCCCTCTTCGTGTATGGGGGTGCACTTCCTATGTTCTCCTCAACTCCCAAGCCCGTCGTGCAGCTGGCGGCAAGCTTGCTCCGAAAACAATCACGTGCGTGTACCTCGGACACAACTCGGACTCGCCAGACTACCTCTTCCTCCATCCTACCACCAACAAACTTTATCGCAGCCGAAATGTTTTCTTCGATGAATCCCACCCGTTCTACCCCTCCTCCACAGTTTCTCCTTCTCCTCCGCCTCCTTCTCTTACTTGGGCTGACTTTGACAGCCTTCCTCCTGCCACCACTCCATCTCCTCCTCTTCCTGCTCCCTCCACAGTTTCCGACCCCCCGTCACCCGCTTCCCCTTCCAGCACCACGCAGTCTCCCCCGCTCCTTCCCGCCCCCGAGCCCATTCCTCTCAAAACCTACCAACGCCGTCCTCCTGCTGCTGCTCTTCCTCCTGATCCAGCTCCTCCTCCTGATCCAGCTCCTGCTCCTGATCCAGCTGCTGTTCTTGATGCTGCCACTACACCTGCTGCTTCTCCCCCTCCAGCTCCGCCTCCCTCCCCCATCGCTGGTCGCACCCGTTCGCTCAAAGCTCCCAAGCCTCTTTCCCTTTCCATTCGTGTCTCTCTCAATCCTCCTCCTGTCGGGGGTGATTATTCGCTCATGCCCTCCCTTCTTGAGGACAGACATGAGGAGTTGATTGAGATTGACTCAGCCATACACGCACTCTGCTCCCTCTTTCCAGATATCGCAGAATCTCCCACCCTCGACTCCTCGGACAACCCCTCCATCCCCACACCTCTCACCTATGCTGAAGCAGTTTCTGGTCCTCACGCCGCTCAATGGCTAGGGGCCATTGTCGCAGAGTGTGAGGCCTTCATTCACACAGGAACTTTCACAGATGTCTCTCCTCCTTCCGGCGTCAACATTGTGAAGGGAAAATGGGTTTTCCGGGTGAAACAACTTCCAGGCGAATTTCCCGTCTTCAAAGCCCGGTACTGTGCCAAGGGATTTACCCAAAAGCATGGACTGGACTTCTTTGAGACATTCTCTCCCACCGCCAAACCTCCCACACTGCGCACCCTTCTCAATGTTGCCGCTCGAGATGACATGGAGGTTGACTGCATGGATGTGTCCTCTGCGTTTCTGCAAAGGATCCTTCGAGAGGAAATCTACATGGAGCGGCCCGAAGGATTTCCAGCTCCTTTTCCACCAGGCACTGTATGGAAGCTTGAATCGACCAGTCTATGGCCTCAAGCAAGCACCCCGGGAATGGCACAACAAGCTCAAGAGCAGCTTAGGGTCCCTCGACTTTCACCCATCCACCTCTGACCCCAGCCTCTTCATCCGAGCAACACCATCCCGCTTCTTCATCTTGGTTTATGTCGATGACATGATCCTTGTCACCAAGGATCAGACTGAGCTGGCAGCAGTCAAAACCGCACTTGGTGAGAAGCTGGCTATGAAGGATCTTGGGAAACTGACGAACTATCTGGGCATGGAAATCACACGTGATCGCACGGCCCGCACCATCACCCTCTCGCAGAAGTTCTACATCAACAACGTTCTGACCAGGTTTAAGATGCAGGAAGCAGCTTCAATGCCCACCCCACTCTCTCTGCAGCACCAACTCACTGCACCCTCTGTTCCCTCACCTGAGCCCTGTGATGAGGCTTACCCCGAGCTCGTCGGTTCCCTCATGTACGCGATGATGTGCACTCGACCAGATTTGGCCTATCCAGTCAGTGTCCTGTCTCGCTACGTTGCACCTGGTCGCTTCACGAGCCACCACTGGTCTGCCGCCAAGCGGGTCCTCCGCTATCTCAAAGGCACACAGGACTATGTGCTCACTCTTGGCGGCTCTTCCCCTGTTCGCCTTGAGGGGTACAGTGACTCGTCCTATGCTGATGTCCAAAGTGATCGGCGCTCTTCCCAAGGATATTGCTTTACCCTTGGCAGTGGGGTTGTCAGTTGCCGCTCCACTCGGTCGTCTTCCGTCTCACTGTCGACCTGTGAGGCAGAGCTGTATGCCGGGACCATGGCTGCCCAAGAGGCCCGTTGGCCCTCCTTCTTGCTGGCAGAACTTGGGTATCCTCAACCAGCCCCAACGCTTTGGTGTGACAACGAGAGCACCATTCATCTCACAAAGGACCCCGTCTTCCACGGCCGCACCAAGCACGTTGAGGTCCGTCACTACTTTCTTCGTGAGCTGGTGCAGCGCGAGCAGCTGAAGGCTGAACACATTGCCTCCGACTGCAACCTTGCTGACTTGCTTACCAAGTCTCTTGTTCGCCAAGACCACTACCGCCTCCTCTCGTCCATGGGTGTTGGGCCACCATGTGGCTGAAGTGTTGTCAGCCTAGGGGGTGTGTTAGAAATAGTCAGTCAACACTTTGTACTATATTCTATATCGGTTAGGTTACTTTGTAGGTTGGGTGTAGATTTGTAATCCCAACCCTATCTGGTTGGGATTCCCTCGTAATCCTGCAAATCTGCCAACTCACCAATTGGAGATTTGCTAGGATTCCCATCCCATCCTTTCCCTCGCTTTGCTCAACCCAACCCTGTTTGTACTTAAGGCCTAGTGCCTTCCTTATCAAGCAATTAGTTCAGTTCCAATTCTATCAGGGCTGACCCACCTGAACGTCAGTCTAGACACCCTGGTGGAGCCCAAGTTTGAGCCGCTCATCTCTCCATGCACCTCTCCTCCTCTTCATGCACCTCTCCTCCTCTTCATGCACCTCTCCTCCTCTTCATGCATCTCCTGCTGTGCCCCCACCTCTGCCCCCTCCTCTGCCCCTGCCTGTCCGCACCCCATGCACAGGCCTCCACACACTAGCACTCACCTCCAATGGCATTCTGCTGCCGGCGAAGCTGCCAGCCCTGAGGGCGGCAGGCCTCACCCACCTGAACGTCAGTCTAGACACCCTGGTGGAGCCCAGGTTCGAGCTGCTCACACGCAGAAAGGGGCACGCGCGCGTCCTCAGAGCTATCGATATGGCACTGGACCTGGGCTTCAAGCCGCTCAAGGTGAGAGGGGCTGACTGAGATTCTAGGGCTGATTTCGGTGTGACTGTCTGAGTGTCTGTCTACCTGCCAACCAGCCACGCTCCTGCTGAAGCTAAGGGGGGCGGGTTTCTCTCATCTGAACGTCAGCCTAGACACCCTGGTGGAGCCCAGGTTCGAGCTGCTCACACGCAGAAAAGGGCATGCGCACGTGCTCAGAGCTATTGACATGGCGCTGGATCTGGGCTTTAAGCCGCTCAAGGTGAGAGGGGCTGATTGAGACTCTAAGGCTGATTTTGGCCTGTCTCATCTGAACGTCAGCCTAGACACCCTCATGGAGCCCAGGTTTGAGCTGCTCACACGCCGAAAGGGGCACGCGCGCGTCCTCAGAGCTATTGATATGGCACTGGACCTGGGCTTTAAGCCGCTCAAGGCGAGATGGGCTGGTTTGAGTCTATCTGTCTTTCTGCCAAGTTTCCTGACAAGGAAACGCCACAATCAGCTTTTTTGCCTTCCCCTCCATTCCCCCTCCCTTTACCTCTCCCCTCCGCATGGAAAGGTACTTTCGACCCAGATCCAGCAGATCTAACTCGTTCTAATCCCCCCTTTCCCCTCCCCTCCCCTCCCCTCCCCTCCCCTCCCCTCCCCTCCCCTCCCCTCCCCTCCCCTCCCCTCCCCTCCCCTCCCCTCCCCTCCCCTCCCCTCCTCCTCCGCCTCCGCCTCCTCGTCCGCGTCCCCCTTCCCTCCCTCTCTCTCCCGCCCTTTTCCCTTTGCAGCTCAGCTGCGCGGTGATGGGGGGTTTTTGAGTCGACTCAAAAATCGCCTCATCACATATGGGGGGTGTGAAAGACGATGAGATTCTCGGCTTTGTGGCGCTCACGACGGAGCGTCTCACTCACCTCCTCTTCCCTGTCCTCTCATTTCCCCTTGTCCCTCTGTTCCACTTCTCCACCCAACCCCCTCTTCCCTTCCCCTCCCCCATCCCTGTTGCTGCTCAACCGTGTGGTGATGCGGGGGGGTGAATAACAATGAGATTCTCGACTCTGTTGGTCTTACCAGAGAGCGACCCATCAACGTGAGGTTCATTGAGTTCATGCCCTTCCTTTTCCCCATTCCTTCTCCCATTTCCCTCTGCCCCCCCCCCCCTACCCAGCTCAACTGTGTGGTGATGCGGGGCGTGAACGACGACGAGATTCTCGACTTTGTGGCGCTCACCAGGGACCGACCCATCAACGTGCGGTTCATAGAGTTCATGCCCTTCGATGGCAACGTGTGGAAGACCAAGAAGATGGTGCCTTATGCTGAGATCATGGCCCGAATTGTGAGTGCATTGTGCAAGGGGGGAAGGCAGGTGAAAAAAGGCAGCCACAGCTTGCTGAGATGATAGTGTGCCTGCTGTGAGTCTTTGGGTGGAGTGGAAAGGGGCAGGTGGGGAGTGATGTGATGCCTTTTGAGGAAATTTTTAGGATTTTTCTAGGATTTTTCGAGGAATTTTGAGCGGAGAACTATCCGACCCCTCTCCACCATCCCAACGTCCGCGCCTCTAGTTTCCCCTGCCTCTGCTATCCCTCTCCTTTCTTGGTTCCCACTCTCTTCATAGAGAACGCCATCCCGACATTGCTCGCCTCAGGGACCACCCATCGGACCCTTCCCCACCATTCCCAACACACCCTCGCCTCTCCCAACCTTTGTTCCCGTTCGTTTCCCCGCTCCCCCACTCTCTCATTTCAGAGGGAACGCCACCCCGATATTGCTCGCCTCAGGGACCACCCATCCGACACGGCAAAGAACTTCCAGGTGCCTGGATTCGCGGGCAGCGTGTCGGTAATTTCTTCCATGACCAGCCACTTCTGCTCCGGCTGTACACGCCTTCGCCTGCTGGCCGATGGGAGCCTGAAAGTGTGTCTGTTCGGGCCGAACGAGGTGAGCACCATGACTATTGAGGTGCCTGGGTGCCTGGGTGTGAGGGCAGCGTGGCAGTGATCTCTTCCATGACCAGCCACTTCTGCTCTGGCTGTACACGCCTGCGCCTGCTGGCCGATGGGAGCCTGAGAGTGTTTTTGTTTGGGCCCAACAAGGTGAGGAATGGTATCAGAACCATCGAATCAGATTGTGCTCAAATCTAATTTGTTGTGCCACTGTGTCTGCTCCAGCTGCACATTGCACACTTGTGCGGCTTCATGGCTACTGGCTGACAGAAGGCTCAAAGGGTGCCACAAATGATGAGTCTATTTTTTAGTCGACTCAAAAATAGACGCTGCACGCCTGTGCGCCTGTATGGCTACTGGCTGACAGAAGGCTCAAAGGGAGCCACAAGTGACGAGTCTATTCTTTAGTCGACTCAAAAATAGACGCTGCACGCCTGTGCGCCTGTATGGCTACTGGCTGACAGAAGGCTCAAAGGGTGCCACATGGGGAGGGGGAAGATGAGCATCGTACCACAAACTGGTGTTCCCTTGTTCTCGTTTTCGCGTCCTCACGTTCTTGCACTTGCATCCTTTGCTTTAAGCCTTCTGCACGCACGCAGCTCACTGAGCTATGTCTGGATCTTGCACTTGCATCCTTTGCTTTAAGCCTACTGCACGCACGCAGCTCACTGAGCTATGTCTGGATCTTGCATTTGCATCCTTCTCGTGCGCCCACAAAGTGGTGCACGCGTACTCTTGCATTCTCGTACTCTCCATTCTCATGCGCTCCATTCTCATGCGCCAAATGCTATCGTGATCCCTCTCCTCCCTCTGCATTTCCTCCCTTGCACATATTTTCCCCCCTCTACCTTCGACTTTGCTCTTCCACTGTTGTTAATTCCGTTCATTCCGGGCAGGTGAGTCTGAGGGATGCGTTGAGGCAGGGAGTAACTCGAGAGGAGCTCCTCTCTCTCATCTCTGCTGCGGTATGTCACAACCCCGTGTGCTTGGTGCAATGCTGTGTGAGTGTACAGTGTGGTGTGAGTGCCTTTTCTTTATACTTGCAACGAACCGCTAGTGGCGGCTTTTTCTGCTTGGCTAAATGTAGTTGTGTTGCGTACCTTTGAACAGGGGTGTATTGGATAATGTTACACAGTCCCACAAACGTCATTCTTATATTTCTTGCATTCTCCCTGTTCCAACCGTCTGTCAACCCAACAGGTCAAGCGGAAGAAGGCTGCTCATGCGGGTATGCTAGAGATTGCTAGAACACACAATAGACCGATGATAACCATTGGTGGGTAGGGTGACATGAACGCTGGTTGATTGTGATTCTAACGTCACGTGAATGGTGCATCAATTCATGGTGGTACCGTATTCTCCCTGGTTTTTGTGGGATTACTACCGTATACGGTGAGACATGTACGGTACTACTGTACCGCAGTAGTACGAACATTTGATTGAGCTGTGACGTGAAGTTTGATATGATAGAACCATGGATCGAAGGTACTGGTAAAACTCTTGTGACAAGGCATCACCCGTAATGTGCCGGAATCCTTGTACTCTAAGTATGTCTGTACCATTGAGCTGAATGCACTTGCATTCCTGCCTTCAAAATTCGTGCCACAATCAATTGTAACGCTCTGTACCAAATTACACTCAAGATCGAAAACTATCGGTTGTAGAGGACGTAACGTAAAGGATGAAGACAATGTAACGCTGTTACGAGTGCAATTTGTTGGAAACAATAACTTCAACGCTTCTGAAGTATCTAACTACCGACACGAAACGAAGCAGACTACAGTGAAGCAACACGAGTCAACAAAAGCAACCGCTGGAGGTTACGCGAAGGTCAAAGGTCACTGACCTTTGACTTGACGAAAACTACAGTGCGACAGCAAGGACACATAACTGACTCGTTACTGAGCAGTTACCCGAGTCGACACAGTATCGAACCGCAACAGCAAAAACAGTTAAAGTAGAACTTTTCATATTCCTTGTAATCATATAAAAGTTTGTATATCTTTGTTATTGTTCTCACATACTAGTACAAGGTGGTTCAAGCAACTCTGATATTACAACGCTTCCGCAATTACAAGTTGATAACTGTTAGCAACATATCCGTACTTCAGCACTTGACCTTAGCCTTGAAAAATCCTAAGGGCCTTTTTCAGCCCAACATGGTATGAGAGCTGGCAGGGCAAGATCATTTTCTTAAATACCTACAACAACGCAAGACATGGCAACACAGAAGGAGAGGAGCTCCTCCAACGGATCTCTCGATACTACTCCTACTCCACCTCCAGCCTCTGGCCTACAGACAGAAGAAGGCACGGCTACAAGACCAGCTGCTGAGTCAACGGAAACTCCCGGGAACCAAGCAGCAAGCTTCGACCCAAGTATGATGGAGATTTTTTTCTCCTTTATGTCCTTCTACGAGCAACACCAGCAAGCAGCCCCTGCACAATCAAACAACAGCGACAACAACAACAGAGCAACACCGATGAGCCTCGACGGTTCATCCTATGCGCGTGGAAATCAACAACAACCCACCTTTGCCCCGTACGAGCCTCAACGCGGCTCCACCAGTTTCGCGCCGCAACCGCAGTCTTCACCTGGACAAGAAAGGACACTGGACGCGCTTCAGGTGCAATCGCAATTAGTACACGTTCTAAAAATACAAACGTCAACGCCTTTCGATGGAAAGGATTTTTATACCTGGTCATTTGAATTTGAGCTGATGATGGAGGGCGTGCAAATTCTCGGATTCTTCGACGGGTCCCTGCCATATCCAGCACACGGGACACAGTACGACAAGCAGCAGTATACGTATCAGTCGCTGATGGCGTGCACGATACTCCTTCGAAATTTAACGCCAAACGAGCAGCAGAACATTCGGTCTTATCGAGGATACGGCAACTCCGCCGAGCTGGCATACGACCACCTGAAGAGCCTGTATCAAGCAACAGACAGTGTTAATCAGAGTCGTCTCATGGCACAGTTGACAACAGTGGAAATGAAACCCGGCGAAAAGGGAATGGCTTATATTAGCCGTTGTCGCGGACTGCGCGACAGGCTCCTTCGATGCGGGGGATCAATATCCGAAGAAGCTTTTGTAACGGTCATCATCGCTGGCCTTGATCCTCATTGGCGCTCCACTCGAGCACTCCTTCGAGCTCACGGGAAGATCTCCGAAGCAGCACTCTGCGCCGAAATTCACGCTGAACAGCAGGATATGGACCTGCACGAAGAACGACACAAGAAGAAAACGTCAGTACCAGAATTCGCATTCCACACTCAACGACGCTACAACAACAATCGACAAAGCAACCGACAGACTCAACACTACGTCCCACCGTTTTGTCACCTCTGCAAGACGTATGGACATCCTCGCACACACTGCCCGAATCAGCAGTAGTCTGTCAGAATGTTATGTTTGTCTAGCCTGCAGTGGGGTACTCAATAGTGAGTACATCCCAATTTAGGGTTTGCTATATGTACTCAACTGCCTGCTAGTGAAAATCCCTCTTCTTTGTTTCATTCATTCGTTCCATATTCTAACATGGAATCAGAGCAGGTCGACCCTCACGGGTCGATCCAGTGCATGGGCCCACCGTTAGCTTCTGCTGCTGCTGCTGCTGCCCTGCCTATCGCGCGCCTCGGGCGCGCGCTGTTTTCCTGCCTGCCGCGCGCTCATGGCGCGCGGCACTTTTTCTTCCCGCCGCGCGCTCTGGGCGCGCGGCGGTTTTCTGCCCGTCGCGCCGCCCTGCTGGGCGCGTGGCGGTTTTCTGCGCCCCCGGGGACCTGCGCGTCGCCCCCCCCGTAGCCCGGCGCGGCGCCCTGGGGGGCCACGCGTCGCCCCCCGCCGTCGCCCGTCGCGGCGACCTAGGGGGCTGCGCGTCGCCCCCCCCATAGCCCGTCGCGGCGCCCTGGGGGGCCACGCGTCGCCCCCCCCCCCCCCGTCGCCCGTCGCGGCGACCTGGGGGGCCGCGCGTCGCCCCCCCCATAGCCCGTCGCGGCGCCCTGGGGGGCCACCCCCCCCCCCCCCCCCCCCCCCCCCCCCCCCCCGTCGCCCGTCGCGGCGCCCTGGGGGGGCGCGCGTCGCCCCCCTCCCCCCCCGTCGCCCGTCGAGGCGACCTGGGGGGCCGCGCGTCGCCCCCCCCCCCCCCCCCGTCGCCCGTCGAGGCGGCCTGGGGGGCCGCGCGTCGGCCCCTTCCGTCCTTCGTTGCGGCCCTGCCCTGCAGCCGCCCTGTCGCGGCCCTGCCCTGCTGCCGCCCCGGTCGCGGCCCTGCCTTCGCCTTTCGTCGCGGCCCTGCCCTGCTGCCGCCCCCGTTGCGGCCCTGCCCTGTGTTGGGGTTTGGGGGTGGCGAGTATGGGGTGATGAGTGTGTGCGGCCTCCCCTGCTCCTCCTCCTCCTCCGTCTCCCACTGCTGCAGCTGCCGCTGAGGGGGGTGGGTGTGTGGGAGCCGACGGAGTGGTACTAGGGGGTGGCGTGTGAGCAATGCTAGAGGTGCCGCAGGGGGTATGTGAAAGGGGGGTGAGACAGTTAGAGGGAGGTTGGGCGGAGGCAGCCGTCGTGTCGCTAGCAGCGCCAGTAGTCCGGAGGCTACAATCTCCGGTAGCCCAGCGAGCCTGCTGCGCCAGTCGCCCGTGGGTCCGTTGCTCCTGCCGCTCAGAGTTAGCCGCGGAGCCAGTTACTCCAGTAGTCCGGAGGCTACAATCTCCGATAGCCACAGTGCGCGCCGCTCCTGTTGCCCGTGTTTCTGCAGCTTCACCCGTCGTCTCCTATCTCCACTCCTCTCACAGTCCCTCCTCCTCCGCACTTACCGTCTGTGACTGCCTCTAGCTTTGCTTATATTTGTGAACTATTGCTCTGCTTGCTTGTTGTGCTGATTACACCCCACTTTGGCTATGGGGGTGTGTCAGAATGTTATGTTTGTCTAGCCTGCAGTGGGGTACTCAATAGTGAGTACAGCCCAATTTAGGGTTTGCTATATGTACTCAACTGCCTGCTAGTGAAAACCCTCTTCTTTGTTTCATTCATTCGTTCCATATTCTAACATAGTCGACAACGCCGCAACGACAACTTCGGCCTTCAAGCAGTCAAGTAGCCTCAACGCAGGCACATCCCACCAGTCAAGTGCAGTCTTCAACATCTTCAACGACAAAACCTGCACAAGGAACAAGAAACATCGTGAGCTGCATGAAAAAAACGACGGACTCCTGCATCACCGGATCACCACCCCACTACTCACCAGAACAACAGCTCGATGAAAGGACTCCTCGCCGCGAATCACTGGAGCCCAACCCGACGTATGCAGCCATCGCCCAGAGCGAGCCGTCCGGTCAAGACACTTGGTTCTTGGACAGTTGCTGCGGACAGCACATGTGTTCCTCGAGTCGCTTCGTTCAACAAGAACATCAACTTCAGCGTGAAGTCGTCATCACCGTGGCCAACAACCAGAATCTGCACACACGACAACAAGGGATAGTACAACTTCAGTCTCGAGAAACTAACGTCATTTTACTAATGTCTAAAGTTTTGATTGCAGAAGGACTCGGCTACAACTTACTCAGCGTCAGCCAACTGATGGCGAAAGGCATCCATCTCGAAGCGGATAGTACCACTCAGGAGTTCAAGCTATTTCACGGAAAAGGCGGACTTTACATCGGCAAGGCAGTCTTGAAGAACAACGTCTTCGTTCTTGATTTCGTCCCGGACCAGGGTACCACCGACAGCGACGCAATCGTCAACTTCACCTCTTGGACACATCCACCCGACCTCGATCCCAACTTCAGTCCTGGCGGATTTTGGTATTCACATACCATACTTGAAGCAGAAAGAACACGGGCATTAGCAGCAATTCGGCAAGAAGGAACAACATCGACAGCAGCAGAGACACCATCGGCAAAAACAGCAACACTTACAGCACCAATAGCGAGCTCTTCCACGGCACCAACCTTCATCGACGACACCCCACCGACTCCTGCACAGCAGCTAACTCCCACTCCACGAGAGGTTCACAGAAGCGTCAACTTCACCGCAGGCTTTTACTCCAACTCCGACCTATACAGGTGCTCACCAAGACATCGTGCGAGCGAATCCCTGTGGCACGAAAGACTGGGTCATCCAAGCAACACCACGTTAAATAATACAATCAAGGCAGCAGTACTCGACAAAGATTCACTTCTTCTACCCGATGGCAGAGAACTCCAACGAGTCCAAGGAACATGCTTTACCTGTCCCGAAGCCGACTTACCGCATCAACCGTTCGTCTCTCACCACAATCCAAGCGCGCCAGCCT